CGACCTCCAGCCGTGGCCGCGGCCTCTGCGGTCGCTCCCGCTCGCGGGTCCGGAGGCGCAGGAGGCGGTGGCGGAGTGGCTGGCGCGGAATGCGGAGCAGCTGACGCAGCAGGGCTTGCCCGACTGGGACCGGGTGCTGCACTCCGGGCGGTCCATGCGGCAGTGGCTGCGCCAGACCCAGGGGGAGAGGGAGGCTTTGGTGACCTTTGAGGGCTTCATCACGTCCATGGCGTCCACTGGGCAGATGATGCGGGACGTGGGGTGGGGGGCCTGGAGGCCGCTGCAAAGGGCACTCCCCGAGCCGGCCCTGGTGCAGGAGTCTCTTGGGACGTTGCTTGGCACCATGAAATATCCAGGCTTGCCAGAGACCTTAGCAACTCTTCAGGCATACATCGACCAAGTCCAGGCATATGGACGGCATGCGGATTGGAGGAGCATAGGCAAGTACTTTGAGGGTCCACCACTTGCCTTTGTGGAGACCTTTGAGTTACAGAGACCGCAGGGCAGGCGCTTTGCCGTGCCAAGTGGTCGCCTAGACTTTGTTCTGTTCACCGCACACCTGCTGCTGGTGCATTTGTTGCTTCTGCGAGCGGCTGGGTACTGTTTCAGGTTGCTCCGCTGCTTGCTATGTAGGTTTTGCTGTCGGCGGGGAAAAGGGCCTGGGGCCAAGGATCTGAAGCTGGCAAATGACCGTGACTAGAAAAGAGTTGCGCGTGTGCGTCCAGTGGTCGGGCTTGATGTCAGTCCGAGTTGTGTTCCGGCCTTGTCGACGGCAATTTTACGGCACGACGTTGACAAAAAGAACGTGGGATGGATGTGTTTGTTTGGCAGAAAGGCTACGAACGGCCCTATCGCTCTGCCAGGAGCGCGAGAGGTGAGCAATGACCACTTGCGCCTTGGCTCAGCATAGCGCAACCCTGCAAGATGCTTAAGGTGGATATTTGGACAGGCGGCCGCACCAAGCCACACGAATCCAGCCTTACTGCACTTTGCAGCCTGTGCATGACTGCTTGTGCAACAGCCACTCCTCTCAAAGCTGTTTGGCTCAAGTGCATTTTGAAGTTTGATTCAACTTCAGCACATGGCGAAACAGCCTGCGCTTTCCAGGGTTGCGGCCAAGCTGTGGCTGTTAGGATGAGGCTGAAGGCTCGGAACTCGGGGGCTGAAGGCAAGATTGGTATTGTACCATCGTGCAGGTCTGCATCTTTTTCACTGCCACGGCTTGGGGCCTGTCCCTGGCGGACTTTCGGGCATTGCTGCAAGATGGCTATGCGAACAGCACTGATGCAGCCACGGCCCTGGCTGCCATTGTGAGTTGAGCGGTGCTTTGGGTTGCAGGGGCCGGCCCCACGACAGCCCTTGTTGTCAAAACTGGAGAGCTTCTTTGATCTGTGTGCAGCTTGCGTGCCCCTGGGCTGGCGAGGTGTTCCTGTCGAGTCTCATGGATGCTTCATCAAACGGCGCGGTGGACCTACAGGACTGCTCTGGCGCGTTGGGCCTCCCAGGATGAAACTCACTGCGAGGTCACATTGAGTTGTTTCTCAAGATCGGTGATGAGGCCCAAAGGAAACCAACCTGGAGGGCCTCCTATTACGAACCCCTCCTGTTTGAGACACGTGGCCTTCCAGGAGTTTCAAGCATGGTCCTGGCAGCATCTGGCTTTGTCACCTTCGCTGCTTGAGCCGGCTGCCTGGCTTTAGCACGTGCAAGATCAAGGCGCGCGGTTCGCGACCCACCCGTAAACAACGTGTTGGAGAGGCCAAGGCACCGTAAAACAGCACTTTCTAGGATTTGCCAGCACTACTCTTTGTTTTTCCTCCTTCCGTCAAAGGTTTTCTTGCGGGAAGGGGGCCATTCGAGGGCCTCCAACTTGCAGACTGCAGACTGTGGTGACGTGCATTCCTGAACCGGCGTTAGCATGCCCAAACTGACTCAGGCAGTCATCATTGCAGCAAGCATCAAGCACGCTCACGCGTGCGTTCACTGCGCAGGATGTTCAAGTGCATTCACCAGCAAGAAACCCGTTGCTTTCTGCGAACATGTCCCAATTGCTGTTGATGGATGTAGCTCGTAATGGCATCATCATCCCTGCATTCATGCTGGTGCACTTTTGGACCGGTACCGCGCGCCGAGATCAACAATTTGACTGGGAACTCCCAGTTGCTGAGGTGTTCTCGGACCTCGACTTTTGCCAAGCAGGTGAGCTTCAACCGAGTCATTTGGACATGCTGATTCAGAAGCTTGCCTCCGAAATGCGCAACAAGAGGCTTCAGTGACTTTTGCCTCGCGCATTTTTACGCAAGGACTCCCAGCGTGGTTCTTCTCCGTGCGCTGCTGGCGTCGAGATTTCAGCAGCACGAGTATGCCACTTTGGCAGCTGCGGATCTCGATGACGACGGCGCCCTCTCCGCTGAGGAGAGAGCCACATCTCGGGTTCCTCGAAAATGGAATTGGGGGGGAGGGTGCCCCTGGAGATCTTCATTTATAGTTCCGCTGCCCTGCTTCAGCTGTTTGGCCATTGCGTGATGGATTTTGAGACGTAGTCCTGCGACTCCAGGAGTTTCGCCTCTTCTTGGAGGATCTGTCCATTGGCGCGCAAGATGCTGCCGCGCTGTCCTGGCCTTGGCTGTTAGATGTCGCGAAAGGATGTTGTCCAATGGTTAGGGTGAGCCTAAAAGATGCTCGAGGAGCGTAGGTATGCAGCGAAGCCGTTGACATGAGAAAGCCACATTTGTTCCAAAGCAACAACTGCCCCCCCAACATTTGCCCCTTGGGCAGCGTCTAAGCGTCTCCGGAGCCTCGACAGGTTCGCCCTGCTGGATTCCGACGGCTCCGGCACGATGATGCACAGCGAGCTGGCTGCCGCCTCCGCGGGCGAGCCGGGGCTTTTGGAGTTCCGGAGGCGCGAGAGCCGGGCTCCCCACTGTAGGGGTAGCTTCCCCATTCTTTCCAGGGGTGCTTCCTTCTAGAAAGCCACCAAAAACGCTGGGGGAAAGGCTGGCTTGAAAAGAACGATGACTGAAAAGAATGGGGAATCCAGCCCTGGAACTGCTGGCGGTTTCAGACATCACCTTTTTGTTGCCATTTGCAAGTGAGGTTCCATTATTTGGTGGGTGTGATGTTTAAAGGGGCAAGATGGAGAAGCCTGTTCAGGGTCCCAGCTGGTTTGGAGGATTCCCTTGTGCAGGGGGAGTGGGCAGTGAAGAAGAGTTGCTTCCTGACTTGCAGTTTCAGCGCGTGTTGGGGATGGGTCCACTTTGTAGGATAGCCTCAACATGGCGCTTTAGTGGTGGTTGAAAGTTAAAACCTGCTCTTGAAATGCAACCGCCTTGGCACTGAGTCGGCAAGCCAGGCTCGCGACCTGGACGTTTGCCAGCCCAGCTTCTTGGCTGCAAGTTGGGTCTCTATTCAAGGGACGAGCCTAAAATGGTCGGGTGTCCCTTCGACACATGACCTTGCCTCCTCCCAAGAGTGGATGGTCGAAATCTGGATCAACCACGGCAACGGTGCTGTGGTGGCTGTTCGTGTTTGGGTTCAGTTGTTGCAATTGCCAAGAACCACCTAGCGCCATCGCAAGGAAGAAAGCTTTCTCCTTGCTGATGCGGATGGGAATGGCTGGATCTCTGAGCCGGACTGGGTGCTAGGTTAAGAGGTAAAAAGCCACAGAGAGCGTGACGGACAGCAAAAGATTGCCTGGGTAAGCGGAAATCTTTAGCATTTGCCAGTAGTCAGTAGTCCCTTTTAACAAGATTTGCCTACTTCGGCCTTTGGGAATTTACGCCGTTGAGCGCTTTATTTTGCCCAAAGCAAAGCCCAGTGGCCAGGAGCTTCATCGTTTGGGCTGCCAGTGGCTGGCGCTGAAGGGCAACGTCACCACGCGCATTTTCCAGGCCATGGATCTGGCCTCCTTCGGCCAGGCGGGGGGACCCGATGCGCGCAGGGTGCAAACTGTGGGCGCCCTGTGGGGTGCCACATGGCAAGGCCCGTGCTTTCCTTGTTTTGCCACAAGAGAGCCAAAAGGGATTCGCTTTCTTGTTGTTTTTCGGAGGCTCCGTCTATGCACCTGGTACGGGAACTCCCAGCGCTTGGGACGTTTGCCGTCCAAGGTCTCCTTTGAGGACTCGGGCCTGGCCCTGGGCGTGGTGCAGGCAGAGATCAGCTCGAAAAGCCTTCATCCCGCTGGGTGGTTTGGAGCCGGAATTTCTTGGGAGAAGGTCTCCCATAGGTTTCCCATCTCTACGAATCCACTTCCAATCTCCGAAATCCAACCCGACGGGATCGAATTCGGGTGCCCTCAGGTCCGAGGCTTCCGCACGCTCCTGCACTCGGTCTTTACTGCTCCGATGGAGGCAGAGGAAATGGCCAGATGGGACAAACGCGAGCGTTTCACCACCGACTTTGGGGGGGAGGGTAAAATGAGCTCACCCATGAAGTACCTTAGCTTGACTTTCCTTGAAATTGCATTTAAAGAGCATGATTGATTGTGTTTAATGGCTGCAATCACCGTTGCTTCTTCTGCCCAGGTTACATGGAGGTGTTACATGGTGACAGGGGCTAGGGGCGTCAGGCCTTCCTAACCTATGACGATGGAGATCAGCTGCTCCAGCACGAAGAGTTCGAGAAAATGGCTGCAGCGCTGGCCATTGGCAGCAACAACTCGGTGTCTTGGCTCGAGGCTTCGACAGGTCTGGAGGTTTCATCGGTTTGCTCGCAGTTTCTATTCTGCATTTCTTAAGCATTTGGCAGTTGTTTGGAAGTGGAAGCATTTGGCAGTTTGGGAGGGGCAGTTGTTTCCCAGAAGGCTTAGGGGTCCCTGGAGCGGTGGGGAGCTCTTCGGGAACCCTTTGGTAGAGTTGCTGTTGGGGATGCCACCTGGTCTTTTTGAATTGGGCGCAGACTTTTGTTCTGGGAACGCTTCTCTTAAAGGCGCAGTTGGGCCAGTGGAAAGAAACATCCTCCCTCCTCTCCGTACCCGCCGATTTAGAGGATCCGATTTGGTTGTCACCTTGCGGGATTTGAGGCCCAGCTATTTGCATTGTTGGCGAGCCGTGGTGTGCCTGTGGTGCACATGGACATCTTCCTGATGGCGAGCAACGGCCTGGCACAGCTGCGGACCATCGTCAGGGAGAGCGCCATGGCTGTTGCCGTTCACCCTCGTTGCCCCAGATAAGTCGCCGGCCATGTTTTTTTTGGTAGGGTGAGGTTTCCTGCAATGGTAAATGTATGTGAATCTGGGGGCTTTATGCCATGGGTTCCCATGCCATCGAATGTGGAGCCTTGGCCATGGGATCCCGCCGTTTCCCCCTCAGGTTATGTGGACCTGCGGAGCGCCTTGCTGGACATTGATACGGAGCCACCCTGGAATGAGGTCTCGCTGGAGGAGATCCGGCGGAAAACCGGATGTGGCTGGACATGTTTACTTGCATTTGGTGAAGTCTCAGGCTCTATTCACACCCTGCTCTATTGTCACTGTGGGTGATGACGAAAACGTTTCAACCTGTCAACCAGGCAGTGTTGCCTTTGTAGGAAGGATGGCCAGAACATGCTGACTGTCTGAAGCAATGCAATGGTCAATTGTTGCCAGTGGCAAAGGTGGCCGATAAAATGTTCAGGAGCACGTGCCCATGCCGATTACGCCAGTTCAGTTGTTCGCTTTCGAAATCTATCGGTTTCTGCTGGCGACATCGCTGGTCCATACACCTGCACAAATACCACTGCCCAATTTGAGCTCCATAATTACGCCAGAGGGGGCATCAATCAATTTGCGCCGAGTCACATGTTACACCGATGGGAGACTCGGCTCAACGGGTCGTAGGAGTTCCGGGCTTGGTGCGAGCGCCTGCAGCTGCCGGCTGAGCTGGTGCCGGACCTCTTCATGGAGCTAGACACGCGCAAGGCGCTCGTTGCGCCGGGTTCAGCGGCAGAAGGTTTGGCCGAGGCCCTGAAAAGCAAACGTCGTTTGAGGTGTTCTCCACTTGGTTTTTGGGGGGCGGCTGCGGTTTTGTCCGGATTGAGGGTTGAAGATTGGAGTGGATTAAGGGTTGGTTTGAACCTGGGTTGAGGTGTGGTTGGGAGCTTCTCAAAATGGTGGAAGTCCTTTCAGTTGGTATCTGAAGGGAAGCGAAAAGGAAAGCATCCATTCAGGGGATTTCTATTTGAGAATCCCTTCCCCGCTTTGTGGCTACAATATTGTGTTGTGTGCCGTGCCAGCAGAATGCTAAGGTTACTAGACGCGCCCTGGACTTCCCATTAGGGAGTTGCTCTAGGGTGACAACATTTTTCGCCATGGCTCACGTGGAGGTTGTGTCACCCGCAAACGTCCCCTGGCCCACCAGACAACAGAGACAAAGACCGAACGGCCAACACGGTCCCTCACATGCGTGCCATGCTGTTGGATACATGTATTTCAGCTCCATCCGCTGGGTTGGTGCCGAAACACTTTGGCTGCATGCGTGCAGGAAGGGAAGCTTTTGCCCTCGCACTTCCAGATGCTGCCCGGCCGAGGAGAGATTGTCAACCAGTCACCGAAAGCCTGGCATTGTGAATTGTTGCCGGTGCTCACGCATGCTTTGTCCGCCCTCTTTCTCGCATTGGAGAAACGTGTATCCTCCAAGAGGCAGTTCCAAATTCGTCCGATCGCCTGCTTCCATTGGGAAGTTGGATGCAGTCACAGACCACTCCTATTCTTCCCTGTACGGAAAAGGAAGAGGGGGTAGGCGTAGATATGTAAATTATGTAAATGTACGCGGCTTTTCTTGGGGGTTTTCACCGGTTGGGCTTTGAGTCCTCCCAGCCCGGCGCGCGCGAGCGCGCGGCCACGTGGCCCTCCGAGGCTGCTGGCCGCGCAGCTGGACGCCCGAGCCTTTGGCGCCCCGAAGTGGGTTGGGTCGATCCGGGCGAGTCACGCTGGATGAATTGGGAGCGGCCGGGACCTCCACAGCCACGAAAGCTGCCCCGTTGTTTTGGCCATGCCGGTTGTATTTTCGATGGGATCTTCGGCTGGCTTTTTTCGTGGGGCAATCCTTCCCGAGTGCAACCGCGCAGGTGTTCGATGGATTCGGGGTTTCGGGCATCGGGTATCAGGCACAAGACAAAGATTCAACTCATCCAATTCAACCGGCTAGAACATCGTGTCTGCTGACCCGTGAATGTAGAACTACCAGCGAGATCCTGACCACATCCTTCGGCATTGCCAGGGCAGCTGGTTGCCTCGGCCCTCTCGCTGGGCCTGGCTTTTGAGAAGGCAGATGCTGACGGCCACCCGGCAGAGGGATGCAATGGTCTCGGTTTGAGGCTTCAGCCTGGGGCTCCCACGGCAAAGCTTTTCCACGGCAAAGCTTCTTCGGGCGAACTTGAGGGATGCCAGATCAATGGCCGCGCAAAGGCCCAGGCAATCTCCACAAACCCCAACCCAAGGGGTCGCGCACGCGTTTCAGTCCCGGCCTCGAACCGCGCGCTCTGAGGCGATGGCTTTGCGTCTCTGGAGGAGCTGATCCAGCTGGCATGGCCTTTGGGAATCAGATCTGCGGATGTGGCCAAGTTCTTCACAGCCGCCCGCCCAAAAACGCCCAGGGCTGGGGTTTGCAACGTGACAGGGGCCCCCAGAAGTTTCCCACAAGGAAACTCACTCAAAAAACAGCCCCGGGTTTTGATCCAGATGGGCCCATCAGATGCTGTAACCCGACGAGGATCTGGATATTGACAAAGTGGGGTATCTCAGCAGAGTCCAGTTCGAAGTGATGTCCGAGCCATTCCGCGCCGTGACGCTGAGCAATTCGGAAGCAGAGCAGGACGGCTTGGTTGGCAGGGCGTAAGCCGCCCACATCACTCGTAGGTCGATTGGTTTGGCTTCATTGTCCCACCCGTCTGGGTGTCCCATTCGTCAGGCTTTCCAGTATTTCCTCTTTGGTGGATTTTGAGCATCATCATTTGGGCCAATTTGAAGTGAATCCTTGTGGGGTGATGTTCAAAAGGGGAACTGTAAGGAGCCCTGTGCGGCTTTGCAGGACCCTATCCACATGTACGAGATACGGCTCTATGAAGATGATTCCTGCCTCTCTGCGATCTCTTGCGAAGTGCCTATTTCCAGCTTTCCGGCTCAATTGGAGGGGCAGCACGCCGTGGATGTCATGTTGCCCTGCCTGAAATCTGAGGGCAGCGTGTGTGCCATTCATCGGAAACGGGGGTTGGCCTCCCAAAAAAGCTTGAACATGTGCAAGCAGAACACTCGGGCAATGGCAATCAATGCAAAGAGGTATCTCGAGACTGCCACTGGATTGCATGTGCGGCCTTTGTTTAGGTGGCCATTTCCGCTCGAACCAGGACCGATGCTTTTGCGTTGCCTGCCCTGCAACCTTGAATCAGGTGGCAGCATCGAGATGCTGTAGTGAAGGGGTCCATTTGGTGAGCAGTTTTACGGCGGGAGACCCAACAATAGTCCAAAAGCAAGGGCATTACCTTCCGCACTTGACCGTGCAAAGGCCGCTCAAGGAGGCTTTGCAGATTGATCCTTTTCCTTTTCGACCCTAAGCCGTCAATCACCACCCCGGCCCCCCAAAGGCTTCTTCAGCCCCTTGCAGTAGGACAGCGACTTCAGCGCGGGCTATTCGTTCGATGGCAACGCCTCGACCCGATGGACTTCGCAATGTGGGCCTTGCAGGCGTGCTGTTGAGAGTTCGGCTGGGCCAACGCTTGGTGAGAGCTCAAATGTCCTGGTGGTCATAATATCATTTTGTTTGCATTGGCCAGTTCTTTGTTTGGAGACGAAGCTGAGAGCGGAAGGGCCCTGCCCCTACCCCCCCCCCCCCACCCCGAAATTGTTTCCCACAAATCAGGCCTCAATGCGCTTGGCAAGCACGGGCAAAAAAGGCCTTAATTCTACCCGAAGCTTGAATTTGGGAGGAAACAAGGGCGAGGGGCACGCACGTTTGTTCTTCAAGTTTTCTGGGGCGGGTTTGTGAGAAAGGATGAACATTTTAGGTTTAGGGTTGATCATCGACCAATTTTATGGGTTCGCCTACGGCCTTGAACCACATCAATTCACAGGATGGGTATCATGCAGGACGCGTCAATCAGAATTGGAGCAGTTGGGGATGTTGCCAAGAGCCAACAGGAAGGGGCGGCAGAAGAGACATGGCGTGGCGTCAGAAGTGTGGCTTGCAAAAGGGCATTTCCAGCTGCTCGTAAAAGTGAATCAAACAACGCCCAAGAGGCAAAGCTGATTGGTCCGCATTTGCGTTTGTTTGTGCGTGAAAGGCAAGCGGAGTCTGTGTATGCGCGCGTGCGCGTTCTACTTGCAATGTGCTCAGCATCTGACGCAAGAAGGTGTCCTTGTTCTTGTCCTTGATCTAGCTCTTGATTTTTGCCGTTCTGCTGCTGCCGCAGTCCCTGCGATGTCTGCTGGTGCTGTTGTTTAAGTTGGCATTGGTCGTTTGTCGTCGACTCAAGGTGAACAAGTTGCACATCTAGTGCTTGTTGTTGTTGTTGTTGTTGTTGTTGTTGTTGTTGTTGTTGTTGTTGTTGTTGTTGTTGTTGTTGTTGTTGTTGTTGTTGTTGTTGTTGTTGTTGTCGTTGTTGTTGTTGTTGTTGTTGTTGTTGTTGTTGTTGTTGTTGTTGTTGTTGTTGTTGTTGTTGCTGCTGCTGCTGCTGCTGCTGCTGCTGCTGGTGGTGGTGGTGGTGGTGGTGGTGGTGGTGGTGGTGGGGGGTTGTTTGTTGATGGTGGTGGTGGTGGTGGTGGTGGTGGTGGTGGTGGTGGTGGGTTGTTTCTTGATGATGGTCGTGGTGGTGATGGTGGGTTGTATCATCGAGGCGGGTTTCAATTTCAGCTCCGACAGCAGGCTTCCAAATGGCACAACAAGCTCCACCCAATTGAAACGAATGCAAATACTATGTTTTTTTTTGGGTGGATGGCAAGGTGATTAACACGGCCTTGCATGTTGAGTGCTTGTTCCGGGCTCATACTGGGTTTGATTGAGCAGTTGAGGGAGGCCCTGTTTAACCTTTAGGTCATCTTAGTAGAATCGCACGTGAATGGTGTTTGGGCGCTGCGCAGTTGGCTTCCACACACTTTTTGTTGAAGAGATGGGCACGCCCGACCAGGCCGGAAGCCGCCTGGATCGGCTGCAAGTTTGCGGAGGTGGTCGAGGCCTCTAGCTTGGTGCAGGGAGTTTTTCGATGGATGATCCCATTTGTGGTCGACGCTTCGGGGGCGCAGCTCTGTTGGGTGCTTCTTTGAAGATGATGTTTTTTGTGGGTGGTTTGAAGGGAAAGCAAGTGGGCGCCAACGATTTTTTTGGGTCCCCTTGTTCGAGTCAGACCCATATTGAGCTAGGCAAGTGCGAAGGGCATGAAAGCGAGCGAGGTTCGGTGCCTGCAGCTGGTCCAGACCGGCGTGCAGGACTTGGGGGCGTCAGTCGCGCTGCACTTGCAGCCGCTGGGGCCTGTGGCTGGGGTGGCTGGGGTGGCTGGGGTGGCTGACTGGGGTAAGTGGGGTCCGGAAAAGGCCAGGGGAAGATCGAGCCAAGATTCTCTCTCCAAGACGTCTGGAAGCTGACAGAAGGGGTTAGATTGGCAAACCACTCAACATGAACCCCAGACCCATCCTACACCAGACCGACCGTACATCGCCCTAGCCAACATCAAAATCAGCACTAAAACCCATTCCAACGTCAACCCTGAACGCACACAACTTCAATTGGACACCTGCCCTCAGCCAACGTTTAGTGACTCGCACCTGCATGCCCTCACACAGCTTGCTCAGCTCTTCTTGGGCAGTTGAAGTTTCAGCAGGCTAAGCTAGCTCCCCCTGAGCATGGTTTTCTTGGATAGCGCCTCGTGGAATTCTAGCTTCCAGCAAGTCAAATGTGTGTGTGTGTGTGTGTCAAAATGAGGGACTCCTCAAAAGTGTGGTTTTCCTTGCGGTTTCCATTTAAACCAAGGTGAAAAGGAGCCCCTCAAATTTAAAAGCACACCCAAAATTGAGCCTCCAGGCAAAAACTGGCTCCTCCGAAAGCTTCTCATGAGCAACTCCCGAAAGCCCCCGGGCTAAAACAAGGCGGACAAAGTCGGCTTTGCATAGGCTAAAATTGGCTACAAGTAACTTCCTGTAGGCCGAAGTGAGCTTCCTATACTCCCAGCTGCCAGTGGAATTTCCAGTGCACAGTGAGCCGCAGAGGGCAACTGATGCAAATCTTCCTGAGCTCGCCGTGGACTGGAATTACGGAATTCATTGGCTGCCGCATAGGCTGACATTCGCTGGGCTGAAAGTAGCGCCCTTGGGCCTGCCGAACCTGGGGAAACACATCCGCGACACCCAAGGATCTGGAACGGCAAATCCTGGGATCAGCTGGCTGACATCGCCAAGCCAGCTGAGCGGCTTGTAGCAAACGTAGAAAAAGAGGGGTCTTGGTGTAAAGGCGCACCACGAAGTTGCGGTGCTGTGCAACATTTGTAGCAGCCGAGTCTTGGCCTTCCCCAACCAGGATCCTTTGACTTTAAAAAAAAACAGAAGCAAACAGTTTGGTTTAGGCACATTTCAACATGTTTGCAGGGGCATGGTTCGACCCTTACGTGGCCATGCCACGGCCATGCGATTCGCGTGAGGTGGGAGCTCTCGAACGGGGCCTTCACTTTCAAGCCCTTGGGCTCAGCGACCAGCACCTCCAGGTTCCCGATTTGGTCCATTTGGGGACTGGGGGGGACGACTGTCAGTCCAGACACGTGTGATGTAAACATGTCTGCGGCCCCCTCAAAAAAGTGTTTTCCTTTCGGAACCTCACAAACAACTTTTGCTATGTTTTGTCTGAATCATGGCCTAGACAAGGTGGGACCCTCATGAACAAAGAGCCCAGGGTGAGCAGGGCATCACAAACATCGCCCCATACTCCGTAACGTCGCAGGCTCGCAGCGGCGGAGGAGGAGGCCATGCGGCCTCGCGGCGGCGGTCGGAAAGAGGGGGCTCCCCTGTTGAACATTTTTTTAAAGCGCTTGTGGACTAAACAGTATGAACTGTGTCAGACAAGAACATTGCCTCTGTGTGCCCAAGCCATTGTTGTTGAAACAACCAAAGCCATTGTTGTTGAAACAGCCCTTTCTTTTCTCGCGTTAACAAACAGAATCCAGGGGCTGCCTGGCTGTAGAAATTTGCGCTCCTCTGCCTGATCAACATTGGAGCACCAAAGCACCCCATTTTAGGCATCATTTTCGGGAAATGGGGTCGCTTTTTTCAGGGACCCCACGAAATGGTGCAACGGTTTGCTTTTGCCCGGCCCCCCCCAAAAAAAAAAGAAAAAGAGGAAAGAACAAAATAAGAAGAAATCGAACCAACAACACAAAAAAGGTGATGCCAACTCCAACAAAAAAGGCACAGACTGGATCCTTCCGATTTTTGTTTTCTTCGCAGGGGTTCGAAGAGCTCTTCGGCGTCTCCTTGCCGGTTTTGGCCTCCATCTGCGCGGGGGTGGGCATTTGTGGCCTCCTTTGCCTCTGCGTCTTGTGCCCCTCGGAGTCGACTCGTTTCGTTTTTTTTTTTTTTTTCCCCGCAGTTTTTCGCGGGCCATGAAAAAAGGCGTGGCCTTTTGCGGGGTTCAGCTTGGACGGGTTCAGTATTCTTTCGGCCTCGGGGGGAGGGGGGTGGTGGTAATGGAAACATGGAGGTGCCTTTTGGTCGGGCAACCCAAAGTTGGCGGTTTGGATTGGTGGTGTGGGAATTTGAACCCTGGCTTTTGTAGAGGGTAAATTGGACACCCCCTCCTCAGCCACCGAACCAACAATCCAAACCGCGTAAAGCTGGCTGTTGACAAAGACTGTGTTGACTCTTGTGGCAAACGGTGCCAGCTTTCGGTCCGCCCTTTCTGAAGTTGAACAAGTTCAGGCAGAGGCAATGTCAGCAGGCTACCTCTTCTCGACACTCCTTCGCTTTGCGCTGAAAGGAGGCGTCAGTTTGGGCTCGTAAGTTTGCGTGGCGTCTAAGTCTAAGGCCCGATCTTCATGAGACCTGCCTGTCTGGACTACTTGCGAGTGAACGCGCCTGAGCGCGGCTCGGCATGGCCTGATGAGTTGCCGACTTGCCGGTTGGAGCCCCCTGGCGTGGTGTCTTGCTTGCTGTCATGAACTTTGCTGCGAAATGCCCTCTCAAAATACATCCCCATAAAATCACGATGCCCATAGGTTCCCCAATAAACAGGTATAAACGGGTGCACATAAATCATGGGGTCAATCATGTCCACCAAAGAGTTCATTTCCACTAGACATTCATATGAGGCACGAAGCCGGTTGAAAGCGGCATGCAAAGGTGTGGATGCGAGGAGGGCCAAGAAAATGGACAACGTGCAAAAGGTCAAGCAGGAGGCCTCAACTTTGCACCGTATCCCTCCCCAGTGGCTTTCCTGGCATCGCATGGTTTGTGCCACCATGAACCGGCGGATCTAAATTGGGAATGTGGGCACTGCCCATAAACATGACGCCAGGTTCACACCCAGTTTGCGCGTAGGTCAAAGAGCTCGAGGAGAAAGTGCAGGCCGGCGCTGTGACTTTGGACGAGTGGGGCATGCCCCACAAAGTGAAGCATGACGAACAGATCCCTGTCGTAAATGCGTGTTTTTTGTTTTGCGCGAGCCCGCACTTGCGCATTCGCATGCATACGCGTGCTCAATATTTTGTTTCTGATGGGCTGTGTGTGCGTGTGCGTGCGCGTGCTTGCGTGCGTGCGTGTGCACACGAGTATGTGTGTGTGTGTAGCCCAGCTGCTTCCTTAGGAAAGCGCTGGAGCGACAACTGGACAAGAAGAGAAGGCAGCAGGCAAAATACGAGGTAGCCGCCTCCGCAGGCAGGATGATTTCGTTGCGTTGTGACGTTGCAGATAGATCCTTGTATTTCCTTGCGCCATGCCATATGTATCCAAGGCGACGCGAAGGACGCTCAGTCAGAGCGGATGACCGAGAAGCAGCAGGCAGAGCTGGAACGTTACAAGCGGATGAAGGAGGCGGGCACATTGAGTCAGCTTGAAACTGAGGTTGCACTTTCTGCAAAGGCTGCAGAGAAGTCATGAGGGTTGTCTCTTTCAAGTCTTTTTTTTCGTTTGAAGGGGGAAGCCCAAAGGAAGCCGAGGGGAGGGGCCAAACAGGATGGTACAAGCAGGTATCTTTGGTACAAGCAGTCTGGAAGACTGCTGCCTGCAGGCGTATGAGCCGAAGACGATCGCCGTTGATGGGGTGGCCTTGCGTGCACCTGAGTCAGCCGCCTGGCCGATCAGTCACGGGCCATCCTCATGTGGTGGGTTTGGGCAAGGCCGCCGATTGCTTAGTGAAGCTTTGCTTGGGCGATCGGAGCTTGACAAGGTACTATTGGAGCTTGGCTTCGAGCCAGAGATGATCGAAGCCTTTGCCATGCCTGGCTTTTCCAGCCTTTGGGTTGCATGGCCGCGTCTTTTGTCCCTAGCCCCCCACCCCACGCGCCAAGCTGCACTTGTTGGCCCAACACCTTCTGCATTCCTTCGTGGAAGCAACAAAGCTATGCTGATGTGAAGCGGCCACAATTGCGGTGTCCCTCCGACATTACAATTCGTCTTCGACTGGGGAGCTTGTGAAACAAGTACTGTAAACAACGCCAGGTAGTCGCTAGGAAGCTAGGGCAAGGTAGTGCCCAGAAATGGCCAGATGTCAAGACTGGCATTCAAAGCAGCTCGGGCGCCTTTAATACAGACTTTCCCTTTGAGGCGTGGATGCAAATCCTGATGAGCCAGAAGAGGAGCAGACGCGTGGCCCTTGCCTGACAAATCCAAGACAGCGGGTGAGCATGTTGCACATACACTGCAGCGTGGGCATGTTTATCCAAGCTTTTGGGCTGTGCTTTCAGCTGGCAGGATGAGAATGCTGAGGCCGGGTGTAGAAAGCGATCGCTTCGAGAGCAGTTCTTTAGCTGCTTTTCATCAGACAAAGGGGAAAAATGCTTTGGATGGGCAGGAGGAGGAGGAAGAGGACGATGAAGATGAGGACGAGGAGGAGGTCCCGACCATGACACCCTCAAAGTACGACGATGGAAGGGTAACAATTCCAGCCATGCGACCTGGCATGCCAGGATAGATCACGTGCTGTCTTATGGCACAATTCCCGGGTCCATTAAGTCAATGCTCAAACATGCTGCTCAGGTAGCCTTGTACATGGTTAATGGATGTTGGTAGGTTGTTCCGAGTTATTCCACGTTTTCTGCTGAGAACAAGCGAGAAACGACCGCACTTGTCATTCCAAGACACCCGAGAAAAGATCAAGCTGCACATGTGGGAATAAGTCCCGCCAAACTGGGTGGTGTCCTGTTGGTTTCCCGTGAAACCAGCCTCAAAAAGGGTACTCTCAAAAACAAACACATGGGTGTGTCTTTTGTAGGTTCTTTTAGGGGACTCCAGAATGGTGGTGTTGCTCATGATTTCCGTTTGATGCCACAAAAAGGGGGTACCCTCAAAAAAGGCGCGCACCCACATGTGCCGACCGACGGCTGAGGCTTGATGAGGCCCCCGCCATTTTTAAAGATGGCACGCGGCTCATGCGCCGCGGCGCTATGGCCGGTGTGGAGGCCTGGGTTTTTGGAAGAGGGGCTAGAGGAGGAAATGCACGCGAAGGGTTCTGAAAAAGGGGTCACCTAAAATGGCGAGGCTCCTCTTTGGCTTTTCTCCCCTCTAAACCAACCAAAGTCATTGACAATTAGATTGGTAGTCTACTTGTTTTTTTCTTTCGGGGAGAGGAAGGCGGACAACCGGACAATGCCCCCTTGGAACAAACTGCATTGTCCGCTCACGCGAAAGCTTTCTTAAGTTGCAGAGTGCACCCTTTCTTGCGGGTGCCTCAAAATTGGCAGGGGCGTGCCATTTTTGCCAATGCTTCAAACAACCATGTCTCAGGTCTCCATTCCCCCTCCCCCGCCAAAAAAGACACAAAAGAGCAACAACAACAAACAATCACAAAAAAGCACAAACAACCAGCACCAAATCGCAAACACAACTACAAAGAAAAAGGAAAAAAAACGAAAGCATCAACCACCACTTTTTTTGGTTTCGGTTCCAAAGCGACAGAAAAACGCCGAAGAAACGCCGAGCCGGCCTGCGCGCCGGTGCGCCTTGCCAGGAGGGCAAGCCCATGGACCCGGAGGAGCTGAAGCGAGCGATGCGGAAGGCCGCGGGCTTGAAGGCGGGGGGGGGGGCGGGAGACACCGGCGGCGCAGGAAAAAGAAGAAGCGAGGAGAGACGGAGAGCTTCGTGTTCAAAACGAAAAGGGGAGTGGTTGTTATTGTGCTTTTTTCTCCTCTTTTTTTTTTTGGGGGGGGGAGGAGGGGAGGGGAGGGGTGGAAGTGGACTTCGACTTCTTGTTTTGCGTGAGGGACTTGCTTTCGCGAATCCAGGGCGCCGAGATTGTAGAGGATGATGTGGAGAAGTGGATCTCTCAACGTGCCGAACGCGGTGCCAAAGTCTTGGATTGGGAGGCGGGACGTGGGAAATGGCACTTCTGCTGTATTTGGCTGACGCATGAGTGCAACATTAGAAGAAGGCAGTCACGCTCGTTGCTCTCATCAATCCCTTCTCTCCGAAAGCAATCAAGTAAGTTTTGCAAACCTGTTTGCAGAAGCAACGGTCAGCATGTGGACCATGATAGGCAGACCTGCTCATTTGGGGTTTAGATGCCTGGGACCCTTTGGCTCACCTGCCTTTTGCCCACTAAGCCAAGCAATGTTAAACTGTTTTGCGGAGGGGCGATCGCCACCAAGTTTGCAAACATAGCAGGCAGTGGAGGTGGATAAGGACGCGTTGCAGAAGGAACGGCCGCACGTCTGCAAAGCTCTTGAGCCAGCTGGAAGCTAGAGATGCTTGACTAGCCTTTGCCTGGTTTGTTTTCATTGTTTGTATCGTCTCACGTAAGGAACAAAGAAGCCATCATCAGCAACATCAACAAGACCCGCCTGCGGGCGTTGGCGGAAGGTTGGATTGCAGTGGGCTGCGTGCGACAGCAGGGGGGCAATTCACAAGTCATAAACGCAGACGTTGTGATGTAGGATGGCTGGTTGCTAAATAGTCCATATGTGCTGATTTCCGTCCACAAAACGGCTATTTGCTGTTCCCCAGGTCCCTAGGACCCAGATGGGCATGGATTGGCACCTTTTCCTGCAGCAGGTGACAGAAAGGAGCTGGCAGCCGAGCTCGATGCTGGCGCGGACTCTGGTGAGGAGGCCATCGAGCCATCCTCGAAATGTTAGGGGTACGCTTTGCACCTTTGTTCACAGAAAAGCCAGAAGGACAACCACTTTGGGGTCCCCCCTATTCTGACTCATACCCGTTTCAAATGGCCATGAATTGCTATGGGAAAAGGTTGGGGTCCCTTTGGTCCTATTGAGTAAAACATTGCCCCGAAAGAGATCAGGCATGACTATGATCTTTCTGGTCTATTAGAACCCCCATCCAAACTGGTTGGTGGACATAAGTGCTTATGATATCCAAACACGTAATAAACATATTCACATCACTGCAATCCTTATTGGCAAAGGCAGGCCAGGGTGCCGCAGAGTCGCGCAGCTTTGCAAGGGATACGGAAGGGCCTGCATAACGAGCACCGCGCCATCCTGCTTAACCCATCCCAGATCGACCAGCCTTGTTCATGATTAGGCTTGTGGCTCCCGCCAAATCATTAACCATGGGTTGATGATTGCCCGTCCCAAAAATGCCCCAGGTGACAAAGTTGAATCAAACCCGAGGTTCTGGGAAACTCTGACACGTCAAAAGAGCGTCACGAGTCACAGGGATGGACGTTGGTAGGACCTGGAGCAGAGATTGGCGAGGGCAGCTGCCCAAACAGCCGCGTGGCAAGGTGCAGACAGACTGGGCCCGTTCTGGTGGCGCTTGAATCCACCATTCGCATGGTCTGCAATTTGGAGAATGTTACTTTAATGAACCCGGAAAGGCTCCCGTGAAGAGATCATGCGTCCCAAGCAATGTGGTGTGACTTAGTTGGCTGACCCGCTTAGGAGAACTTGACGATGACCGTCTTCCAAAAAGAACGTGAGGACATTGCGTTTTACCAAAGCTGATGGTATCACTGATGTATCACTGATAGTTTTTGGCGGCACTCGGCGCTTTCACTTGGGTGGACCTTGTCTCCAGCTCACCTGATTTGTCCCTGCTACGCACAAACTTCTCAGTTGCCCAAAGCCGGCCTTTAGACTTTTTGGTTTTCCAATTTGGGTTCAGTTTCTTGTCAAGGTCCCACGAGGTTAACCTTTTATTGTAAACGCTTCGGCCAGTATCAGCTGAAGTGCTATGTCTGGTTTGCCTTGAAGTGCCGTGTTTTCTGAGTCAGTGAGTCAGAGCTGAAATGCATCAGCTGGTTTCCAAGATGTACTTTGGGTGCATGTTTACGGCTTCCACGTGTTTGAGATGTCCCTTCACGCTTTTGATAGCGGAGCTGCTCCATGCGGCTGGGGCTGCCGGTGAGGGCGGGGGATTGAGGAGGGGGTTGCGGGGATGCCGGTTCCGAGGAGGGTTTCGCTTGGGTCAGTCCAAAATATGTGGCGCGTCATCCAAAGTGCACGCAAGTGTGCCTAAGCCTCGGGCTCATTTTCTTCCCTGCTGTCCAGCAAACAGTTTTTTGGGTTTACAACCAAACATGATGCTTTATGCGTCGCCTTCCTAAGTCGCTGGCGCACTTGGTTGCTAGGACGCGGGCCGCGGGTCAGGCCAAGGGCGCAGCAAATGGAAGGAGGAGATGGGTTCCCTGGCGCGGGGCAAGTCGAGCAAGTCGGAGATTTCCTTGGCGCGGGGCAAGACAAAGGAAGAGGCGGCGCTGGTCAAAGGCAAGTCGAAGGAGTTTGCCAGCGGCAAGTCGAAGGAGTTGGCCAGCGGCAAGTCAAAGGAGGACATGGGCGCCATGAAACCAGAGGCAAAGGAAGACCTCAGGCGAGGCAAGTCCAAGGAGGTGCACTCCGCAGTTCCAGTGAAAAACAAGTCCAAAGAGGATGTGCACGCTGCAGCAATGGCAGCAGCAGAGGCTGCAGAGGTGGCTGCAGAAGAAGCTGAGGCAGAGGCAGAGGCAGCGGCAGCGGCGTTGAAGAAGTTGGAGCAGGGAGAGGTTGGACCAGCCCAGGCGCCTGGGTTATGCATCGGGAATCGGCTATCGTGAGCAAAGCGACAGCACGTTTTAGAGTGACACCTCGCTGGCTGCAGATGTTCTGTTGGGGGCTTCTTTTTTTGCTGCCCACCCCTGACCCAAGGAGGACCAGGCGCCGCAACCGTACGGGGGCGAGGCAAGTTTGCTCCTTTGGTCAGTGCTTGATCCAAGTCCTTGGCAAGCACATGGCCCCAGCCTTGTACGCAGGTCTTTGCTGGGATGCCGGTCATCCCTCGCGGTTTGGGCACGCCGCGGCGTGACATGCTGGCAGGCTTCTCGTGTGTGTGTGTGTGGTGTGTGTGTGTGTGTGTGTGTGTGTGTGTGTGTGTGTGTGTGTGTGTGTGTGTGTGTGTGTGTGTGTGTGTGTGTGTGTGTGTGTGTGTGCGGCTCAGGTGCGCTCGTTTCGAGTAGCAGCTAATTTGGGTTGGTTTCCTACAGCTCGTTAACAAGGAGCGAATGCGCCAGGTGAGGTCTACCGGAGCTCTTTGGATGCGCCACTGGCCGACATGGGCGATGGTCTGCAGTGGGGCCGCTTTTTGCAAGCGAAGCCGCACTTTCGGACTGCAGAGGAGATTGCGGCGGCCAATGCCCCCAAGCCCAAAGCCAAAGCAGAGCCGAAGCCGCCAGAGATCGACCCAGAACGCAGCGACCGCGTTGACCGCGGAATCATGCGAATTCTCCGCATCTTCCGGCGGAGAACCACAGGGAGCACGAGCCCGAGCCCGAGCGACGCCCCGCCGCGCCGCTTCGCGCGGCTGCGGAACTTGCGGAGCTTGCGGCTCGGGGCTCTGAGGCCCAAACTGCGTCTGCCGTGGCGCAAGCCACAGGCCCCACCAGCCACGGATCCGAGCCCCTGAAGCAACACGCATGAGGGCACAGCATGCAGCTGCTCGTGTGTCTTGGTTTGCACACATGCGCTGCGTTCTCTTCTGAAAGGGGCAGTGGGACTGGCCAGTCCGTTGGCTGGGTGCAGGTTTGCCAGATATCCAGCAAGTTGAGGTATGCAATGAACCTGAGCGCGCATGCAAAACCGCTTTTTGCCGACTGGCAGGCCGTCCAAGATGGCTATGCCTTTGGCAATGCAGAGCATGGGAGGGAGGTGAAGGTTCCTCCCTGACCCTAACATGGGTCTGTTAATGAACGTTGGATGCTGTGGCTTGCCAAAGGCCAGCATCCATGCGGCCAACCGCAAACGGATAACGTCTTGGAAGTGGGCGCTGCCAAACCAGGTGATTTGAGCAGGCGCGTTTGATTTGGATTTGGCAGTCAGCCCAAGTTGCATGTACATAGCACTCAGGTGTGGAGTGGCCAGCCGAGTCGCCCCACGAACTTCCGAGCCAGAGACATGTGAGCGTCCAGAGGACTCCCGTGGCAAAGTAGCAGGCAACTCATGGAGCACATTGCGCACCAACACGGAAGACGCACCACTCGCGCCGAAGTGCGAAAGGTAGCCCTTTGTATCTGTAACGCTTTTGGCGGCTTCATGTTTGCGTCAACTCGCAGTGTTGGTGCTGGTGTGGGCACTGCCGGTGCTTGGGCTTCTGCCTGCGGTGATGGGTGCGGAGCCTGTCAGAGCTCCAGGTTGGGGGGATTCAGGGATGGTATTCCCTTGGGAGCTTCAGCTCGGCTTTGCCAAGGCCACGTGGGCAAGCCCATGCCGCGGTGGCTGCAGATGAGAAGGTCCACGACTCGCTTGGAGTTCAAGCCTCCCCCCCCCCGCCCCGAATCCACCCCCCCTCCCCCAACAATGTGCAGTTGGTCATTTGTTTCTTCAAAGCGCTATGAAGCGATGCGCATGTGACATTGTAGGTTTGGTCCACCTATCGCGGGGACTTGGGACTCGCGGTGTCCATGTTCTGCTTTGACTGTGGCTCATATTTTTCACTGAAGCCTGTGAAGCCGTTTCGCTCCTTGGCTCAAGCTGGGGTGCAGGGGCTGAAAAAGCCAGGCAGGGCTGTCTTGCGCATGGGTTGTCGTTGGCTCTGACATGGGCCCTTTTTGGGTAAAGGACCTGCAAAATGACACCAACTTGGCTTGGATGTCCGTTCCATTGTGCAAAGGTGTCCATAGCCAAGAAGCCGTGTTCAGCTCACGCAGCTGCTGCGAGAACCTACCCCCGTGGCTCTCAGGAAGATTGAGGCCAGAGCTGCAAACAGTTCTGCTCAGCAACATGTACCGCAACAAACTTGCGGGTTTTCTGAAGCTGCAGAGAATCCGACGCCGGCATTCTCAGCCTCACCGCGTGACAACAGGAGAATCCGCTCCAACCACTCCACCTGCCAAGTTGAGGGTCGATACCAGAGCCATGGCGCTGAGCTTCGGGGTCTTGGAGGAAATCCTGCAGGGCTCGGAGGTGTTTGGGCAAAGATGCCAGTCCATGGAGCCCATGGTTCACTTTGCAAGGGACAGGGTCGCACTTTGTCACAAAACAACCGCAAATCCTCACAAAGACGAGCCTGCAGCTCAGGTGGCTCCGCCCATCTTGGAGCTGCGCGGGCTCAAGCCCTTGGACGGCCAGAGGTACACCGTGCACTTGGCCGATGGGCGGCGGCTTGCTCGGAGATTCGAGTCGGTAGGCCGAGCTTGAAGCAATGCGTCGTAAACTTTGGTGGGTTCCAGCCATGCAGTTCCTTAGACTTCAGATATGTAGAGAGGGAGAGAGCGAGAGAGAGAGAGAGGGATTTATGCCATGTTTTCTGAATTGTTGGCAACAAAAGCACCAACCCTCTTAGTGGGACTGGCGCTTTCCCAGTCATTAAGGCTCCGGTGCTGTGTCTTCTGGTTAGTTTGTACTGTTTCGGGGCATGTTAGATGCATGGCTGCAAGGTATCTCATGAGGGGGGTGGTGGTGGCTGCTGCGGCGCAGAGCATGGTCACTTGGCATCAATCGCAGGCAGCAACCGAAGTTCTGACCGGGCATTCGCTCCATGACTGCAGGGTGTGGTGCCATTGGTGGCTTTTTCAGGAAAGGTGAGCGGTGAGCACGCGCAAGGCATGGCAGCTCTTGCCAGCGTTGGGATACTTGGGAGCCACTTCTTGCCCAAGCGCTGTTCTGGGTTTGGTTATTGATGTCAATTGCAGCACAGGTTGCGGTCAGGCGGTCGCTCAGTGCGGTCCAAATCCTGTCGCTTAGTGCGGCGCAAATCCTGTCGCTTAGTGCGGCGCAAATCCTGTCGCTTAGTGCGGCAGTCACTTTCACCTTCACGGGCTTGTTGGGCCTGTTGGGGCTGTTGGGACCGCTGGGCCCGTTGGGACCGTTGAGCCCGCTGTGCCCGTTGGGCCCGTGGGGCCTGCGTTGGGCTTGAGCCCGTTGGGCCCGTTGGGCCTGCCCGTTCGGACCGCTGAGCCCCCTGCTCTGGCTCTTCGTCTTGGCTCGCTTTACTTTTCTTTACAAGAACTTACATGTGTTTAGACACGTGCCAAAAGTGTGGTTTTACCTGCATCTCGGAAGGTGTTTTGTTAGGTTATGATATTAGGTGTGTAGTGTTATGTATGTTTTGTAATGTAATGTGATGTATGCGTGTATGTATGTTGTGTATGTTGTGTATGTTATGTATGCTATGCACGTATGTATGTATGTTGTATGTATGTATGTATGTATGTATGTAAGTATGTATGTATGTATGTATGTATGTATGTATGTATGTATGTATGTATGTATGTATGTATGTATGTAATGTATGTAATGTATGTATTTATGTATGTACGTACGTACGTACGTATGAATGTATGTTGTGTTGCGTTGTGTTGTGTTGTGTTGCGTTGCGTTGCGTTGTGTTGTGTTGTGTATGTATGTATGTATGTATTTATGTACGTATATGTGTATGTATGTATGTATGTATGTATGTATGTATGTATGTATGTATGTATGTATGTATGTATGTATGTATGTTTGTATGCATGCATGCGTTCATGTATGTGTGTATGTATGTATGTATGTATGTATGTATGTATGTATGTATGTATGTATGTTATGTAGGTACGTAACATAATGTAATGTGATGCAACGTCGTGTATGTGTGTATGTATGTTATGTATGTATGTATGTATGTTATGTGAGTATGTATGTGATGTATGTATGTATGTATGTATGTATGTATGTATGTGTGTGTACGTGTATGTATGTATGTTATGTTATGTTATGTCCCCTGCTCTGGCTCTTCGTCTTGGCTTGCTTTACTTTTTCTTTACAAGAACTTACATGTGTTTAGACACGTGCCAAAAAGTGTGGTTTTACCTGCATCGCGGAAGTTCGCGGAAGGTTCGCGGAAGGGCGAGGCGGAAGACTTTTTTTTGGAACAATGAATATGGGGTAAACTTCATGTATATATGTATGTTATGTTATGTTATGGTTTTTTACGCTGCGCTATGCTATGTTATGTCTTGTTATGTTATGTTATTATGTGTGCAGTGACATGTGTTTTTAGTACTGTAATGTAATGTGACGTAATGTAGTGTAATGTGATGTATGCCTGTATGTATGTTATGTATGCTATGTACGTAAGTATGTATGTTATGTATGTATATAATATGTATAAATGTATGTATGTATGTATGTTGTGTTGTGTTGTGTTGTGTTGTGTTGTGCTGTGTTGTGGTGTGTTGTGTTGTGTTGTGTTGTGCTGTGTTGTGGTGTGTTGTGTTGTGTTGTGTTGTGTTGTGTATGTATGGTATGTAATGTATGTTATGGTATGTATGTTGTATGTATATTGTATTTATGTATGTTATGTTGTGTTGTGCTGTGTATGTATGTATGTATGTATGTATGTATGTATGTATATAATGAATGTTATGGCATGTATTTATGTACGTATATGTGTATGTATGTATGTGTGTATGTATGTATGTATGTATGTATGCATGTAATCATGCATGCATGTCTGTGTGCGTGTGTTAATGTAATGTAATGTGTGTAATTTATGTAATGCGTTGCAGTTCATGCGTGTAATGTAATTTTGTATGTATGTCTGTATGTATGTATGTGTATGTATGTATGTATGTATGTATGTCTGTATGTATGTATGTATGTATGCATGCATGTATGTATGTATGTATATATGTATATATGTATGCATGTATGTATGTGTTTAATATATGTAATATGTGTAATTTGTGTATGCATGTATGTATGTTTGTAATGTGTGTATGTTATGTTATGTTTTGTTATATGTTTTGTTATGTTATGTTATGTGGGTAATGCTATGTATGTAGTGTATGTATGTAATGTAATGTAGCGCAACGTAGGCCCGCTGAGCCCGTTGGGCTCGTCGGGCCCGTCGGGCCCATTGGGCCTGTTGGGCTTGTTGGGCCCGTCGGGGTCGTTGGGACCGCTGGGCCCGTTGGGCCCGTTGAGCCCCCGTTGGGCCCGTTGAGCCCGTTTGGCCTGTTGGGCGCGTTGGGCCCGTTGAGGTCGTTGGGCCCATTGAGCGCGTTGGGCGTGTTGAGCCCGTTGGGAGCTTGGGCCTGTTGAGTTCGTTGGGCCCATTGAGCGCGTTGGGCGTGTTGAGCCCATGGAGCGCGTTGGGCCCGTTGATTTTATTGAACTGACCGGTTTAACACCTGGGTTCTGACTGCACTAAGTGACGGGTTTTTTGCTGCACTAAGTGACCTGTTTAGCACTTGGGTTGTGACTGCACTAAGTGACGGAATTTTTGCTGCACTAAGTGACCTGCTGACCCAGGTTGCTGTCGCAGATGTGACTTCCAGCAGTGACGGGAATCATGGGGCCGCTTTTTGATAGTTGTGCAGTAGCTTCACCACGTCAAAGCTTGTTGTTTGTTTGCTCGGTTTGACATTGCCGGCTTTGGGCCCCCATGGGTCAGGGGAGACCCCCCAGAAAGGTTCTGATCCGTTCTGAGCGCCTTTTCGGCGGGTGCGTTGGTTTTGTTCAGAGTTTTCCATGCCTGAGGTGCGGCACGGAGATCCAGTTGGTTTGCGAGTGAGGCTCCAAAAGTTCAAGTTGGAGGTTGCCAAGAACAGGGAGCACTTGAAGTTCCTCCTCATCTTGGAGGCCTTTCGCGGTATCTGGGCCCCGAAGCGTTGCTTCCCTTTCTAGGGATCCTTGTTTCAGGCAAGTGGCTGGTTTTTGCAAATGGGTGATCAAGGCCTTCTCCCAAGAGCTCCGTTGCAAGCCTCGACGTGTTCCATCAACGTGTTGGCCACGTTCCTCCAAGGTAAGCTCAAATTTGGGGTTCCTCAGGGGTGGTGGCGGTGGTGGTGGTGGTGGTGGTATCGAAGGCCACGTTTGCATCCTTGGCAGGCGGAAGTTGTGCGTAGAGCAGACCCCGACGAGCAGCTCGATGATCACACTCTTCAGAAATTGCCCTTGCCAATGCCAGCTGCCCAAGCGCCTCGTTTGCAAGAAGCTCCTGAGGCTTGTTCATGGCTCTGCACTAGATGCCGTGACATTGGTTGGAAGGTCATTTCTCAGGAATCAGGAATACCCTAGGTGATACAACTGCAACAGCAGCAACAGCAACAACAGCAACAACAGCAATCACCCGCGGCAACAGCACAGCAACGCAGCGACGAAGCAATGCCACATGACAAGCGAGCGCAACACAGCACTGCGCAGCGCAACGCACCGAAACGCAGCACAAACACAACGCAACCCACGAGAGCAACAGAGCATTCAACGCGGAGACCTATCTGCAGGACGGCTTTGGAGGAGCCGCTGCCCATTTGTGCCACCCTCAAACGATCTGTGTGCATGCCTGCAGGGATAGGCGTGCCCACACACGCACACCCACACACACACACACACACACACACACACACACACACACACACACACACACACACACACACACACACACACGCATACCAACCGCTACATATTTGCAGGCTTCCGACCCACAAATGTGCATCCGTGGATTGGGTTTATGAAGTGGGGGGTCGTGCTTTCTCGATGCTTGCTTAGCCCAGGTCGCTGGCAACGATGTCCCTTTCACGCAGGCAGTGGGTGCTTGCCAGGTTGACCAGCCGGCATGCCTAGTTTGCGAGTGTTTGTTGGCGGCGATGTTGATTTTTGTCCAGAAATCTGCCCAAAACAAGTCGTTCAACGGACAAACTTGTTTGACCTTCCACCAGCCGAATCTAGTTTTCATTCGCCTCCGGCCGCCTGGTGGCAGGCGGTGGCGGCTGGCAGTTCGAGCGCTTGGCTCAGTCTATGTCAGGCTGTAAATGATTGAGCGCCCTTTCACATGTTGGGGATACCTGCGACTACCGCAGAACTCAGCTGAGAAACCGTGCAGCGGATCTTGCTTTGTTGGCGCCTTTGCATGCTTTTTGGCGAGGCTACTACACGCCGCCTCGCCGACCAGGTCTGCCTCCGAACGCGCACACGCCTGACCCCCCGACCGCGCCAAACCCAGGTGGCACCTAGCCCGGAGTGGTTCGGCGGGTTCCGGAAGGGTTGCGGAAGGTTTGAATCCTTCGGAAAGGGTTCTAAGGGAGCGACCTGCGCGGAGCAAGTTGTGCAGAGAAGAGAAAGCCTCACCACAATCATGCCGTGCCAGGTCTTTGCCATGTCCGTCTGCTCATGTCTTTGATGGGATTCTGAATCGGATTGCTTTTCTCAAGAAATGGCAGTTGCGGTTGACACAGTTCGACCAGTTGAATGAGTGCCTCGGGTTTATCGATTGCTTGTCACGCCAGGCATGCAGTGGCAAAACAAAACCGACGATCTCATTGCAGAGGCTGAGACGCAGCCAGGTGGGAGTGCAGCCAGTCCGGAGCAATACGCACGTGTCAAGCAAGCAGTGCATCTTCCCCCAAAATTGGATTGGGGCAGGAAGTGATCCCTGATTGAATCAATGTTCACTTTTTGCAGAAGGAGTAGAGACATGAAAGGTTGCCCGGGGGGAGGGAATGTCATTGTAAAATGTTGCTCGGCTCAAGGTTGCTTCACTTCCAAGTCAGTACGTTTCTGCTGTGGGTATGCTGGATATTGCTGGATCATGTTTATCAGTCGTTGGCAACGTCCTCAGTTAATGTTGACCCCAAACAAATCAACCCCAGTTTCTTAATAGGGGGGGGGTCCCTGGGTTTAGTGGGGAATCAGACCGCCGTCAAGTTGGAGGGGCAAAACCCCCCCCGTGAATCAACTGGTTGGTGGATCAATATGGGGTCAACATGAACTGATCCAGAGCCATCCACAGGTCCAGCCGAAGGCGGCCAGTCGATGGCTGCCAACCCCTACTCCAACCAGTCGCTGGGCCCCTAGGGTTTGACGTGAATCGGTCAATCCTTACGGTCGTCCTACGTTTTTTTTGGGGATGCCATGAGGCACACAGGCACCTATTTCCCCTTTTGGAAATGGGGCTTTACCGAAATTATCGCGTCAGTTGGGGACATTTGATGCAATTAATCAAGCTTGATTCAGTGAAGCCTGATCTAGCGACCTCTTTGAAGCACCCACTTTGGGAGTTTTTCCATGCAGTCATTTACAGGATTTGAGGCCGCCCCCATTGGTGCTTCCCAGTTCCGAGTTGGTTTTCCGCAGCCAGTAATCAGGGTTCCCAATGTTTCCCCCTTCAACATCCACTGAAGGGGAACCTACTTTATAAATTGGCCTTGAAGGATGTTTAGAACCACCACAAGGAAGCCCTGCTCTATCACGGCTTTTCTTGTTTGTGGTTCAAGTGGATTTTACGTAGAGACTCATGTTTTGAGCTGGTATCCCTCATTCCTTTACACCACCACTTGGAGGATTATTTTGAGGAACGTTATTTGGCCCAGCGCAAAGATGGCTCATTTGGTGGAGGCCGTTTGCAGACAGCAATGATTGATGTGACGCTGAAAATGAGGCACGTTTGAGCCTGAGCAGCCCCACTGGACTTAGCACACCAAACCAAACATGGCAAAGAGCCTTTTACAAGGAGAGGCACTGACAAGCTGATGTCTGTTGGCTGCACCAAACTGGCGCCCTGTGCTGAAGGGTCTTTTCTCTGAGTGGTCCAAAATTGGCGATGCGCCTTCGATCTCGTAGCAGCAAGATGAAACAATGGAGCAGCAATGTTCCATCGGTACAGATCCTTTCCGAGGCACGTGGCGCCACCACGAAGCTTTGGTGCTGTGTCAGCTGCGCCAGGGCTGCCCGCGCAACGAGAGCCACTAGAGGCGTGCCGGGTCGCCAGAACGTTGATCGCTTGTAGCTTTTGTATTTTAGCCTCCAGCCTCGCTGGCGCCACAGCCCGCTAGGGAACAACTCCCAAGCAACATTTGCTTTGCTTTTTGCCAGGCACGTGCTCCACAAGAGCGCTTTGGGGCACGTGATGCGTCGGCTGCGAGCATCACACCGATCAGCCGCTGTGCTTTGTTGGGGTGCAGGTTTTTTGTGGTTCTTTTATGGCGAGCTTCGGGGCTAAAACGAGCTCAACATGATGTAGTTTGCTTTTAGTTTTTCCCCAAAGAGTCCCTTCCTTTTGCCTTTGGACTTGCAACATTTCCAGATGTGTTTGCCTCTGCTTCAAACCGGCCGGCCACTTCTCGGCAGACATTCAACAGCCCCAGCACCCGGTTGCGATGCCCGTGGCAGCTTTTCTAGCCAAGCACACTTGAATCCAGACCGCCCTTTGCGAAGAATCCCTGCGGATTCCAATTGCAGATTCCATGGAGGTGACTCTCCTGGACTATGGCGCGGGCAATGTGCAGAGCGTGTTCAACGCCATCCGAACGCTGGGCTTCAAAGTGCGGTACGTGCAAGGCCCCGAGGACATTGCGAAGGCCGAGTGCATCGTGTTCCCGGGCGTGGGGGCCTTTGGGCCCTGTGTGGATGCGCTGCAAAGCAAGGGCTTCTTCGCGCCCCTGCAGCAGTACCTCAAGGAGTAGGGCTCTGAAGTCGGCTCAGGTTTTGTCTAAACGGCCTGCTTAAGCGAAGGACTGGCCCAACTTTCTTGGCAGAAGCAGGGCTCACGTGACTTACAACACAAGGGAAGCTCCACCCAAAAGGGATATATATATATATATCTATATTTGGATTGTTGGGTGGTTGAAAGAGAAACCAAAAGGCTTGCCATAGAACGGGAGACTGCCAGGAAGACCGTCCCTTCTTCGGTATCTGCCTGGGCATGCAGACGCTCTTCGAGGGCAGCGCGGAGAGCCCCGGGGTGGCAGGCCTGGGCGTCCTGCCGGGCACCGTGGAGCGCTTTCCGGAGACCAGCCTAGCGGTGCCCAACATCAATTGGAGTGGCGTCTTGGCAATTTTTTGGGTCGCGTGTTTCTTTTTGTCTTTTTCTTTTTGGGGGGGGATCTGGGTGGGTCGTAGTTCATTCCGAGGAGTGGCGCCCATGTTAGCAGACCCTTGGCCCTTGGAGAAGGCCCAGCCCCGCTGCTATTTCGTCCACTCCTACCGGGTGCCCATGACAACTGCGCCCTGGGCCCTGGCTTGCTCGGAATCCCAGGTGACAAGCAAGCGCTTTTTTCTTTCTTGGAAGGGTGCCCCGCTTCCTAAACACGACCAGCAACACGCGGGTGCATTCTTGTTTGCGCTTTCTCCACCGGGCACGTGAGGAATACGGCGAGAAGTTCGTGTGCGCCGTGCGCCAGGGGAATTGCGTGGCCACGCAGTTTCACCCAGAGAAGAGCGGTACCGTGGGACTCAGGACGTGCCGAAAGAAGATGGGAGTTGAGTGAAGGACAGCTAACGGGAACTTTCTAGGTCTGGGTTCCTTGAAGTGAACATGTTGAGGGCTTCTCACGATTGCTTTGGGTTGTTTCCCTAGAAGCCACCGTTTAGAGGGTGTTTTTTGGTAGAATGTCACTGTAGGACAAAGCGCAAATGGTGCTCCGCAAGCCACAATTACTAGCCGAAGGGGAAGCCCAAAACTGGTGGGCATTTTGTTGGGATCCAGACCCCTCTCCCTCGATTTGACACCCAGACAAGGGTTCTCTCAAAACAAAGGGTAAAATGACAGTTTCCCGTTTGTTTCCCTTTAAACGGCCAACATGGGTTCGACATCCATTTTCAACAACTCCCCCCAACGTTGCTTGCAATGGCTGATGACATTTCGCGTGCTAGTGGTTTCGTTTTTCTCCACACACCCCCCCCCCCAACCGCCCCCACCCCACCCCCCCTTCCACCAATTTCGACCCCAGGATCCTGGAGACCTGGCTCAAAGGCCGGGCGCCGGGTGAGGCAGCTCCAGCGGAGGCCTTTTGCCCGGAACCCCCGGCCCGGCGGATCATCGCGTGCCTGGACGTGCGGGCCAACGACGCGGGGGACCTGGTGGTTACCAAGGCAATGCATTGGGAAGCACCGTGCGTTTTTCTTCTTTCTTCTTTTCTTCATTTTTTAAAGGCTCCACAAGTGTGTTCGTTTAGTCTCCCTTTAAACATAGAACAACAAAAATGCGGCGGGCGGGGGGGCGGGGGGGACTTCACAAAAAGTCCGGCCCAGATTTGCGTTCCTTTTTCGAGGAAACCCTCAAAACGGGTGATTGTTTGTTTTTTATTCTGCAAAGGGGTACCCTCAAAAAGGCGCGCCGCTACAAGGATGGTTCACGCGGCCATTGATGGCCCTTGTTTAAACCATGGTTTAAACCATGGACCATGGGTTAAACCACTGGTGCTTTGAGAACATTCCTTTGGCTTCCTTCAAAGAGGACCAGGGGTCCATGCGGTTCTGAAGAAGTCACATGGGATGTCTCATGGCAAGTTACCGAAAGGGGCAAGCCTTCTATAAAGTTCTATTTGTTGTATTGTTCAAAGTCCTTTGCAAGATCCCTATGCAAGATTGCCTTCCCTTGCCGTTCTATCAGTGATATGTCGATCCAGTTTTCAGGTTTGAAGACTACACAATTTACATTCGTTTTTGCCAAAACAGGGCGCTCCTTTTGGTATACATCATTTCGAACATCAAATTGTGACTTAGGGATCCCCGCTTTGGGGCAAGTCTTAACTCACTTGTTTGAGCGGGTTCCATATCCTATTTTGGGTTCAACCAGGGCGACCAGTACGATGTCCGCGAGAAGGAGGGCTCCGTGCGGAACCATGGGAAACCGGTGTCGCTGGCGGAGCGGTATTATCAAGATGGAGCCGACGAGGTGTCCAGGGAAGAAGCCTAGTCCGGTGAATCGGTTTGTTTGGCTTTGTGGTTTGGAGATCAGGGGATGGTGCATTTGGGTGGGAGTTTGTTTTTCTCTTGACGGGGCTGATGACGTCGGAGGTCCTTCGACGTTTCCGTTTGGGGTGATTTATGTTTTGAAGTCACTTTTGGGGCCATTTTGATTGAGTTTCCTGTCGGAAGCGTGACGTTTTAAGGGGACATAGCTGTGTCCAGGTTTGGCGGAAAAGTTTGGAAAAAAGGAAACCAACAGGAGGAGGTGGTTTAAAACAACACTTAATTCCTGGGAGCCGGCGCAATCCTGGAGGTGTCGTTTTTGAACATCACGGCATTCCGAGATATGGTGCTGGAAGATCAGCCCATGCTCGAGGTTTTGAGAAGTGCCGCCGAGAAGGTCTTCGTGCCGTTGACGGTGGGAGGTGGCATTAGGTCGTATGTGGACGAGAAAGGGAGGAGCTACTCGGCCCTGGACGTGGCAGATGCCTACTTTAGGGCGGGTGCCGACAAGATCTCCATCGGCTCCGACGCGGTGGAGGTGGCGAAGGCCTACTACGCCGCGGGGAAGAAGGGCGATGGCGGCTCCTCCATTGAGCTCATTAGCACCAAGTACGGGCGCCAGGCCGTAGTCGTGAGCGTGGATCCGCGGCGGGTGTATGTTGCGGACCCGAAGAGTTGTGCTCACAACTGCGTGGAGGTGGGGCTCACAGATAAGGCGACGCCTGTGGGCCCCAACGGCGAGCGCTTTGCTTGGTACTGCTGCACCGTGAAGGGAGGGCGAGAAGACAGCGACCTGGATGTGGTTCAGCTGGCGCAGGCGGCCGAGGCACTGGGAGCTGGAGAGCTGCTGTTGAACTGCATCAATCGCGATGGCCAGGGAAACGGCTATGAGCTTGAGCTGGTCCAGCAGGCGATGGCAAAACTCTTAATGCAACTTTCAATCTTGGAGTTGCAGCACCCCCCGACACCAGTAAAAGCCGCGATTTTTCCCAGTCATCCCCTATGAGCTGGCACAAAGCACGCAGTTTGGAGGTGAAGTCTGCGTGCACGTTGCCGGTCATTGCCTCCAGCGGCGCCGGATGCCCCGAGCACTTTCAGCAGGCCTTGGCGGTCGGTGCAGATGCAGCGCTGGCTGCCGGCATTTTCCACCGACAGGAAGTTCCCATCCAGGACCCGACGCAAAGTCCTCCCCACTTCCAATTGGAGCTTACCTCGCGCAGCAAAACTAGTCACAGGGCCGTTGGGCCGTTTTGTGGGGGATCGCAGGCTTTACGGCTCGTGCACTGGATGGCGGGTTGCTCATGTCTCGTTAATGCAAACCCCGTTTGCTGCCAGTGACAGCATAAGATGTGTTCTGTGCGATTGTGTGACTATATGTGTGAAAATATATCTGCATATGTATTTGTTTGTGTGTGTGTGTGCGCGTGTGCGAGTGCGTGCGAGCGAGCGGGCGCTCACGTGCGTGCTCATTTTCCCTTGATGTCCAGCAGTGCTCACAAGAACCGGTCGATGCTGTGGAACCTCCAGGAAGTGAAGAGCTACTTGAGCAAAACGGAAATTCCCGTGAGATGCTAGCTGGTGGAGATGAGCGGGCAGCGGATGCTAGCTGGTTGAGATGAGCGGGCAGCGGTTGGGAGGGGCGGCGAGCTATCAAGCTGGTTGGCTCAGGGCAGCTTCATTTAGCACACGCTTCGGCCTTTGAGCTGGCGCCCCATTTGGGTGCCAAATAGCCCGGAATCTTTGATTCACTTTTAAGGACCGCAACATATTTGGACATATGGTTATCATGATTCTTGCTTCAGTCGCCATATTGAGCTGCCAGTCGTTGTTCTTGACATGCCGAGCCAACTAGCGGACTGAGAAGTGCTTCTCAAAGCTCTCGGGCACAAAGATGCCCTCCGATCTGTACAGGCCCTGCTTGATTTGCTCCACCGGTTTGACCCCCCCATTTTTGCACATCGAAAGGCCTGCTCCCATGTGCGTCACATGGAGTGTGGCAGTCACAGGGAGTGTGGCAGCCAAGCCTGGCTCGTGCACAGTCTAGTTCTCCTGGAAAGGTGACAGCAGTTACCCCCAGCAGATTGGCATGGAACCCACGTTTGGAGAAATTTTATTGGGGAACCCCCCCTGTTTTGAGTTCCACTTGAATTTGCAGGGGCTCGTGTTTCCAGCATTTCCGTACCCAGGAAATCGGTTTGCGCCCCGAGGAAACCTCAATGCGTACTTCCAGGGCCGCTGGAAAGTGAAGGCGGGACCGGTCGCCTTTTCTTTTTCCACCCGGCCGTCAGTTGGGGCTTTTGAGGTGAGGTCAAGAACAGCGGGTGCCTCTCGTGATCAGATGCTTGAAAGCATTTGAGCTGATTCTGATCTATCCTGGCCTAGAGCGTGTAAGCTAGCGGGCAGGGCTAACTTACAGCATTGCGCTCTGGCCCATTTTCGCAGCGTAACAAATGCCCTGTGGCCAGTGGAAGAAACACACGGCCAACTTTCTTTGAGCAAAATGACCCGTCCCAAATGGTTTCCACTCCATCAGGGTCTATATATCCTTCATATAGTCTCTAGTGGTTGTATCCACCTGAAATCCTGGAGCAGCTTCGGCTTGGGTAGTAGTCAGCTGTCGCCAGGCACGGGTGATCACGAAGGGCGACATCCGCAAGTTCAACAACAGCCGTGGGGAGGGGCAGCTTTTCAAGGCTGGCGACCGGCACGATGGCTGGATGACGCGCTTAGCAAAGTTCCAGCTTACTTGAACCTAGGGGTTGTTGAATTTCCCTTTGGGTGACGGCAGCAACCCTTGTGCTTACCCTTGTGCTTACCCTTGTGCTTACCCTTGTGCTTACCCTCCCTCCAGCCATGCAAGCCCATCGGCAGGTGTGGGAAGACTACTTCCCTTTGGGGAAGCTCTTCGTCCATTTTCGTTGGGCATTAAAACGTAGGGTTGTGTTGTTTCAGGGTCCCCCTTTTTGGGGTTGGTTTAAAGGGGGGCCCAGAAAGGAACACCGACGCGATTTTGGAACTCTGCATCCTTCGGGGGGAAAAGCGAGAACCAATGCTTCCTGACAGACTTGGTCAACAGGTCTGAAACATTTGACAGCTTTTGAGGCGTATGTTTTTGGCTGTTAAGGGAAATCCCTGCTAGAGACCAACTAAAACTGTTGCTTACTCCGTTTTTGGATATTTCCTATCTAGGATTGTCTTGACCGAGCAGTTCCTAGCCCTACCCTTGCGATGAGTTTAGACAAATTTGCAGCATCGCCCGTCGAACTTTGGCCATCATTTGGATTTCCTGAAATCTCATGGCATATCCCTCTACAAAGGCCGGTCCCCCCAACAAATCAACGAAGCCCCCCCCCCCCCACCCGTGACCCGGGCCAGGTGGACCTTGCGGACGGCTCGGGGGAGATCTCCGCCACCTTCTTCGGCCGCGCCGTGGACAAGTACCACGCCTTGCTGAAGCCCGGCCAGGCGCTGCGGTAGCGGCGGTTTTTGGGCCGGAGCATGGGGGATGCGACATTGCCACCGGAGGGGGGCGAAGCGAGACAGGGGGCCGGGGAGACGCACGGGCTCCGAACTCAGATATGGTTAGTTCGTTTGGCGAAAAATCAAGCGGAGTCAGTAAATAGCATGTTTGGAGTACCGCAGGCGTGGCCATTTTTGGTGGGGGGGTCTTGGCCTTAGGAAATCTGCGCTTGTTTGGGGCAATGCGTTTCGACCTTTGACCTTAGGACCTTTAACTGTTTCGGAGAATGTTGTTCCACTTGGCAGCAAGCAACAAAGTCTTTTGGCATAGGATCACCGGGTGTTTCCTTCGTGGACCCGAAGCGTTCGTTGGGAGCCACCAGACTCATTCCGAAGAAATTCCGACCCGTCCATTGAGCTGCCAGCCAGAAGCACGAGCTTTGACACGGGTTTCATTTGCAGCTTTGCCGGATGTTGCCGGTTTGCAGTGAGTCGCTTGCAGGTGTACACTTTCCAGAAAGGCCAGGTGAAGGGTGCCAACAAGCGCTATGACAGCGGGGACTATGTGCTGACTTTCGAGGAGCAGCTTGGGATTGAGCTGGCCACTAGAGGAACCGTTTTTGGGGTAAGCTTTGTGAGGGTGCCGCGTTCGAGTTTTGAAACGGAACCCGGTTTGCCCCCCCCCTTTGAGACAAAAGTGATTTGACCAAAAAACCTTTACTTCTACCAAGTTGGACGTTCGGGCAACTCTTTGGGCAGCCTTTTGGCGAATGTGGTTGTGCAATCGATGTACTGGGTGCGGTTTCTCATGATCGTGGCAATTAGAACCTAGCATTCGCACACCCCTAGTTTATGACAAGGGGGCATCACATTTAGGAGGTTATTCTTCATGTTTTTGGCAAACACACCCCGCTAAATCCGCAAGCTTTATCCATCTGGGGTAGGCACTCAGCTGCATTTGAGACTTCTCTGAGTTGGAGTTGAGCCAGTCAAAGCCGGGAAAGATGTGGCAAGTGGGAAACAGTCCCAACTGCACTTAGGTGCGGATATCCGCCCTTCAAATTTTCAGTTCTTAACACGGGTTTTGGTAGACTCCAGTATTGCCAGGTGGGGGGCACATATGGCTCCCTTTCGGGATCCTCGGATTGGTGCCGCCATCTCGGAGTAAAAATAGCCCTAGGTTTGACCACCCGTTTGTCACTCCATCGTGTCCCTCCCCGAGGCACGCGCTGATTGAAGTCGCGGAGGAGGATCGCAGCCTTCCGGGCATTTGTGCCTTGACCGCCAGTGTGGCGTCAAGGTTGAGCCAGAAGCAGTGATTCGATGCTCAAAGCTGCCCCCTCAATTCCTGCCCCATAGGCCTGCCAGTTGTAAACACGTTACTTGCCGGAGCCGCTTCATGGACAGTGGCCTGCATATTTCCAGGTTTTGGATGGTATGTGAGCACCACCCTGTGATTGCCAATGTTTTGGCAGTTTCTTCTTGGCGTGATGCTGAATGCGGACATGAAAGGAAGCACGCAAAAACCATGCTTGTCGGTCAAAAGGGTGTCGGACGTGCGAGGCTACAACTTCCGGCCCCTCTGCGAAGTGCTGGGCATGGCTCCTGAGACACTGGTGGATGTGAAAGCTGTGCCTTGGAAGGATTCCGAGAAGGGCTCCGCTGTAGAGGGTAAATGGGAGACCCCTCCTCCACCGATCCAAACCGCCAATCAGAGGGAAGCTGATATTCCAAGAAAGCCACCAGGGGAGCTTGGCTGGTTTGTCAAAGGTTGAGCAGATTGGGGAGTCGGCCTCTGGTTCAGCGCATCGTGTGGATCCGGAGCAAAACACCTCGTACCCACATGAGTACAGTAAACCCACCTGGTACCCAAAGGTTCCAATGCCTGAGGTGTCAAGGGGCCGACTCAGACCCCAAAAAGCCCCGAAACCCGACAGGGGAAAAGGCCCTGGGCCCTTGGCCTCGGGACTCCTCCAGCTTCCAGGTCCTTCTTTCCCTTTGGCTTAGGAGTGCGTAAGAAGCGAAAGAGGAGCTGCACGTTCCAAGACTTGTGCCCAGGTGGTGTGCCAGGTGCAGGATCCCTACACCTTCACGGCAAAGACCTCCAACAAGGAGATGACCAAGCGCGAGATTCACCTCTGGGATCCTTCGGGGCCAACAGGCCCTCAAAAAAGCCGGGAATGACACGAGCGGGCCCCCGTTTTTTTTTTTTTTTTTTGGGGGGGGGGTCAAGCTACGGCAACTGCGAGGGACATGCGGGACTGGCACAAAAAGCCCCGCCTTTTGGGACTTGCGCTCATTTGTTAACGGGGGCAACTGCTGTGTTGAGCCTGGCTCATGTTGAAGTCTGAAGCGGTGGGTGGTGATGCCAATCTCAAGGAGCCCCACCAGCCAACGGATCATCCAAGGGATCAGCGGATCAAAGGATCAACAGATAAAAATGTCAATCCGGACTCGGACTCGGAGGCTTAAGTGGTAAAACAAGTTTGACGCATTGGATGCTTTCGTTTGGGGTCATGTTTGCGGTGACGAGGACCATGCGTGGCAAACAAGCAACTGTGCCTGCGGCTCAAACGCGGAATCTCTCCCATCGGTGATCGTCTGCTACGTATCTCTTGAGCTGGGGGGTGGGATCATGGGATGGTTTGTCGTGAGGCTACACCACCATGGAGCTGACCTTGTGGAACGAGCGGGCCATTGGCACGGACTTCCAAGTGGGCCATCCCATCTTCCTGAAGAAGGAGCGAAAACCCCGGGGGGGGAGGGGCGCAACCCAAAGGTGGAATCCACCAGGGCCAGCCTTTGCATGTAATTTTCGTTGATTCTTTATGACGCGGTCCAACATCCCAGCCTCAAGAAGGCACGGGGTGCGACGTAGGCTCGATCTTTTCACAGTCTTTAGAAGCTGTGCTTCAGACTCACCGGGGCAACAATTGTCCGAGACCGCTGAGCACCAGGCCCAACGGGCGACCAAAAAAAATCTTTGGGACGGAATGCGCCATGGATCAAGCCAATGCAAAGGATGCAGAGGTTGTGGTACTTCCCCCTTTCTCTCCAAAGACTTCTTTCAAGAAATTGCAGCGCAAAACCAGGAAGTCGGAATGTGAGTATGTTCCCAAACGAACGATGGGACCATCCGGCCGACGCGTCAGGCGCGCGTCACCGAGTTCAACCAGCAGAAGTCCTTGAGTAGCCCTGCGCAACTCGAGCTGGACCCAGACCACGAGGACATGCGACCAGCTTCTGTTTTGTCTCATGGCCTCTATCCAAAATGATAAGGTTTCCCTTTGGTGCCCTGGAGCAATCCCCAAGAAAGGCACCAACGATGCCTTGGATGTCCCTCCCCCCTCCCCCGCCCAAGCCGCGCAGGACGCCTTTGCGGCCGTGGCCAAATTCCAGGAGTTTGCCGCCACCAATCCGCTGCCCGTGGTCACCAAAACTCCCGTCAGCTCCTCGCGGCGGCAGACGTTGGAGGCGTGCCGCCAGGACGGATTGCGCCGTCGGCGGGGGGGGGGGAGGCTTGGAAGAAGGCCCTCAATATGTGCTATTACTATTATTATTGTTATTCTTATTATTAGTATTATCATTATTGGTATTACTTATTTGTTTAATTATTCATATCATTATCATTATCATTATCATAATTGTTTTTATGTGTATGCCAAGACCAGGCGCACGCAAGTCAAGATCGCCAGGTTGGGTCCTTGGTTATTCCCTGGCAGGAGGACCTGAACCTCGCGCTGCCACCGGCACCAGGCGTGGCCTTAGGACCCACTGATGCACGGGTGACCCACCGGCATTCCGTGGTGGCGACCTTTACCACCTTGCCTACGGACAAGGGAGCGACTGGCTGAAGGTTCGGTAAGCTTTTGCATCTTATGAGTCAACATTATACCTGGGGACCGCAGGTTTTAGTCCTTGTTTCCGTTTGCCAGGGTTCCATGTTGGGTACAAATGATGATAGAACAGATGTGTAGGTTTAGGGAGAAACAATGACCAAGGCGTACTACCCGTCCTGCCCCGAGAAGGTCGAGGGTCGTCCTTCCGTTGGGGGAACAGGGCCTGCTTCGAGGACGTGCAACAAAAAGGTGTCCCAGGAGAGCGGGGGCAGAGGGGAGCTGGCAAGTTGTGGCCATGGGCCTCGTTCCAACCCTGTGAAGTCGGACACCTCCAACCAGCTTCCAACGTTTCAGCCCTGCCAATGGTTGCTGAGGCATCGACTGCCTGTTTTTCCATGAGGTGTGTTCCTGGCAGAGCCCGGTACAAATTGACATATTTTGAATAAAGGCAGGCAGCAGCCTTGCCGTGACAGCTTTGGAGGGGAGCAATGGGCGGTTGTCTGCTTCCTTGGAAGCCTTGGCGTTCAAAGGCAGCTGCAAAAAAGCCAACTTCGTTGAGAGCCCCAACCTGGTCGGTAGGGGCCTTCCTGAGTCAAACTGCAATCCTTGTAGGAGACCCCAAAATTTGATCACCCAGTTGAAGGTACTGCCACGATCCCGCCATGCAACCAGCGCGCTGGGCCACGCATGGCACCCCTGTCAGGAGGACAACGGAAGCTGGAAATGTGCAAGTGGCCACGTCTCGGCCTATCCGGAGTTCCGGTACCTGTGCCGCATCAATGTCCTTGACCACACAGACCAGGCGCCTCAAAGCGTTGCTGGGTCAATGGACTCTCAAAGTGTTGCTTGGGTTGGCCTGCCATGGAGCCCCAGAGTGTGGGGCTTGTGCTGTGGAAGCAGCGTGTTAGTTGATCAACGGGTCACGCACATGACGTGTTGGATTTTTGGGTTGCAGTTCCGTGATGAGTCGCAGCATCGCTTGTGGCAAACATACGTTTTTTGCAGAGCATTGCTCGGCCAGCCATGTTGTTTTCGGCTTGAAGCTGGCAGAGCATGGTCTATGCGCTGTTTTAACTTGGCAAAGGCAATGACAATTTATGGCAAGGCGTGCCTAGCTGACGTGGCCAGGTGGAGGTGAACCTGTACGACGAAGCGCTGCAAAAGCTTCTCCGCTGCGAGGCCCGGGAGTATGTGCCTATGTTCGAGGCGGGGCAGGTGGGCGGCGAGAAGGAGAACGAGTTGAAGGACGGGTGTGGGGAGCTTGGTTCCACGCAGTGGGTGGGCGTTTAGCACCCCGAAAAAGGTCGCGCAAACGGAGTTCCCTCTAAAGAAGGGTGGCTTTCTGGGTTCCATGTGAAGCTGGGGAGTAATGACCTGGCTGCCTGGGCCAACTGAAAGTTGCAAAGCAATCGACGCTCACGCTACTTTCTGAACTTGGTGCTTTTGGGAAGACAATTCAAGTGGCAAACAACAAGTTTAGTGGTTGTGCAACTCCTACGGAGGGGACTAACTTGCCGTGGTTACTTACCACTCATCAAGTGAAATCAGGTGGGATCATCCAAGTACACTCGCTTGCCCACGTTTTATTTCTTTCCCAGTGGGTCCCTTGGTAAGGCAAATGGCACTTGGCTCCATTTCTATGGTCGTAATGTTGACCCTGGATAAATGAACCCCAGTTTATCCGGTTTGGGGGCACCCCCCCACATATGAACAACCTGGGGTTTTGTTCCATCTGAATTCAACATGAGTCCGCCAGAAAAAGCCCGGAGAAAACCGGAGAAAACCAGGAGCTGCACCAGCGCATGGAGTGGAAGAAGTGCATCCTCCGCCTCCGTGCGACGAAGGAGGTTTGGCAGGAGAACGAGCGGATTCGGCGCCTCGGTTCGGTTCGGCATGCCTTGCTTCTGGAAAACCGCCCAGGGGGCGGGGAGGGGAATTTAGTTTTTTGTTGGAGCGGAATCTCTTTTAAAGCGTAGGGCCGTTTTGGGTGAGTCACTTTTTTGCAGTTGTTGCAAGTTCAGGCTAGAAGGTTGGGCAGATTCGAGCTTGCTGCTTCAAGGTACAGTGTAGACGATGCGCAGCCGATACCCTTTGTGCAAGAAGCCCGTCAGATGCTTTCGGAGGTGATGCACTCACTTGCGAACTGAGTTGTGATCACGAGCGCGTGTGGGCAAGCCACATGTACAAGCCCGGTGCTGAAAGAAGACCCAAGGCTTTGCCAAGATTGAAGTATTTCGATGCCAGGGAGGGGATCCTTTTCTTGTAGGGAGTGGCTGAATTCCAGTGCACTCGCGAGGTCCTTTGGCAGATCCAAGCACGCGTGGCAGGATCACCCTTTCAGAGAATCCGTGGATGTTAGAACGTGCGTATGCGCGCATCAACGAGCAACCACGCCCCAAAACAACACTTTCAAGACCTGGGTGTGCAATTGAATGTGCGCGGCCCTTCAAATTGATTGGCAAACAATCCCCATGTGAATGATGTCGGCCAATTTGGCCAGCAACAATTACGCACAAGCACATGGACCCAACTCCATTTTTGAGGCCCTCAGCCAGGGCTCTAAATCGCTTTCATTCAATCAAAGTTAAGCTCGGAATGGGAAGACGTCATGCGAAAGCCGTGAACCAGACGCAAAGGGCCCAGGCCCCTTTTTCTGATTTCAGGCGGAGCTTCCTTCCCAAAGATACGCAAGAAGAACTGCCACGCGTGGGGCGACACAGTTGCATGCACCTCTTTGCCATGCTTTTGGGGTCGATCGTTGGCCTGGCCGCTGGTGGACATGATTTGCACGTGGATTTATCTCCCCCCCACACCTTGTTCTTGAGGGTGTTCTATTTGATTTGTTGTGTCATGGGGGCATGGTGGTCGAGGCCAACTTGGGGACAGAGGCATGCCGAGTGCAAGCTTCGCCACATGTGGCTTGGGTGCCTGATTCCGGTACAGAAGCCCTAACGCACGTGGGGTACGGCTTCTGCCTGCTAGCATCCAAAAGGCTGCCGCGCCTCAAGTTTTGGTCGCGCTTCTGTGATGCCAATTTCGTTTGTTCACTTGGGGGCTGTGGAGTTGCTCGGGCCAATTCAGTGGTTGCGCCCCTACCTGTCAGATTTTGCGGTCTCCCCGTCACAGGTGGAAGCCATGGTGCTGGCGGACATTACAAATGCCGTGGACGATCCATCCTGCAAGAGGTGCCGATGGCTGCACACACATATGCACACACACACATATATATATATATATATATATATGTAATATGTTTCACATATATATATATATATATCTATAAATGACATGGGAGTCACGCTGCATGTGCCAAGTGATGTTGACCCCGTAGTACCCTATGTATAAACTGGGGTTGATTCAATATGGGGTCAACATTACTTGCCACTCATACTTTTGGAACCCTTATGCGCTCCTTGCGTCTTTCGTCTTGTCCGGCTGGTTTTCTCTGCACTGCCACAGGCCCGGCAAAGGTGCGGCCGTGGCCGCCTGAGCTGTTTTTTTTAGCAAGCTGTTGGCCACCTCCACCTGGGCTCAGCGCGCTGACGCGCTGACGCCGGACCCTAGGCCCCTCAGGCGACCAAAAGGGGGGTGGGTGAAACTGAATCCGTGGATTCAGGGGGTTGGTCAACCCTGGTGCTTCTTGATTTTCGGCTCGGCTAGCCGAGGCGTTGGCAGAGAATCTTCACACGAAAGCCTTGCAGCAAGAGATTCTTGGCTTGCAACTGGGTACGTGAAGCATGTTGACTGAAAGCCAACCAACACAGGGGCTTTTTTTTTTTGGGGGGGGGGGTCAGGGTTGGGCCAATGAGGGGCGATGTCCGGTTCTCCTTGTGGTCTTCTTGTACCCCCTGCGTGCAGTGCGACGTCAGGTGCCTGATGCTAGGGCTAGTCGGATGTTCGGCCCAAGGGCCTGTCCCAACCATGTTATGGCGAGCTCACTTGGGAGGGTAAAGCCAACTCACCATCATTGGGGTCCCTTGCAGGTTTTAGTTTTTTTCCCAACCCGACAGGAAGGGGTTGTTAGATTTTATGTTAGAATCCGCGTTTGCGATGCTTCTACACCACGCCCCCACCCAGTATCCCGCCAGAGCAGCTGGCCAGTGGATCCCGCCAAGTATCCCACCAGAGCGGCTGGCCAGTGGATCCCGCCGAGTATCCCGCCAGAGGCTTGCCAGTGGATCCCGCCAAGAATCCCAAAAGAGCAGCCAGTGGATCCCGCCGAGCATCCCGCCGAGTATCCCGCTGAGTATCCCAGAGTAGCTCGCCAGTGGGTACGGCCGACTATACCGCCAGAGTAGCTCGTCAGTGGATCCCGCCGAGCATCCCACTGGCCAGTGGATCCCGCCCAGGTGTCCCGCCAGAGCTGCTCGCCAGTGAGTATACCGCCAGAGCGGCTCGCCAGTGGATCCCGTGGATCCCGCCGTGCACCCCACCAGAGATGCCTGCCGGTGGATCCGAGTATCCCGCTGAGGCGGATCCCGCCGAATATCCCGACAGAGTAATCGTCAGTGGACCCCAGTGTCCCAGGGAAGCTCGCCAGTACATCCCGCCGAGGAGCCGGGGAGCCCTTCCAAAAAGAAACCCGGCGGGGTATTGAACAAAGTTGCTTATTCACAGCCCGAAGCAAAACAGAAGCATCACGCTTTCCGAGCCTCGGGGTACACTCAAAACACGAAGGCACCAACATGAAATGTAAACTCAGCTGTCCGGCCCAGGGATACTCAGTGGGCTACTCGGCGGAGGTGGTCTGGGATACTCAGCGGGATACTCGGCGGGATCACGGGCTGCTCTGGTGGGACACTCGGCGGGATCCACTGTGGCGAGCTGCTCTGGCGGGATACTCGGCGGGATCCACTGGCGAGCTGCTCTGGCGGGATACTGGGTGGGGGCGTGGTGTAGAAGCATCGCAAACGCGGATTCTAACATAAACTCTAACAGCCCCTTCCTGTCGGGTGGGGAACAAACAAACAAACAGACAAACTTTAGAGCCTCCGGCTCAGTCCGCCGACGTTGTCCTCCTTCTTCTTCTTTCCCTTGTCTTTTTCGTGTGTTCTGTCGTCCTCTCTCCCTCTCATCCCCCCCATCCCCCCCTCAATCTCCCTCTCTTTGTCTCTCTCGCTCTCTCTCTCTCTCTCTCTCTCTCTCTGTTTCTCTGTCTCCTTCCTGTCCACGCCGCTCTACAGAAAAAGGGTGCCCTAATTCTATCTAACCTCTGTACTGGAGGACCAACCTAGTTTCTCTCTCTCTCTCTCTCTCTCTCTCTCTCTCTCTCTCTCTCTCTCTCTCTCTTTCTTTCTTTCTCTCTCTCTCTATCTGTGTCTTTCTGTGTCTCTCTTTCTCTGTCTCTTTCTCTGACTGTGGCTTTGTTTCTGTCTCTCTCTCTCTCTCTCTCTGTGTCTCTCTCTGCATTGCAGCGTCTCACAACTGGCTTTCCCCTTGATTTCCCCTTCATGTCCTTTTCACGTGTCGCATGATGTCCCGGTCATGTCCCTTCCATTCCGTTCAACTCCCCCTTCATGTCTTCTCGGTATGTCCGCTTCATTGTCCATGTAGGTCCCGTTCTTGCGTTGCGAGGCATTTCCCTACATCTCCCGTCGTGCCGATTGGTTTCCTTCTGCTTTGTTTCCCTTGCATTCCCCCTGCACTCCCCTTGTTTTCATGTCTGCCCCTTTCATGTCCCTTTCAGTTCCCCTTTGTTACGTTTCCCTTTCATTTCCCGTTGCTTTCCTGTCATGTCGACTTCCTGTTTCCTCCCCTCATTTCCTTGCACTTTTTTGCATTTCCACCTTTGCTCCCCAGTATTTCCCGCAAAAAAACACGGATACTCAGCGGGATGCTCGGCGGGATCCACTCACGGGCTGCTCTGGTGGGATAGTTGGCGGGATCCACTGGCAAGCTACTTTGGCGGGATACTCGGCGGGATCCACTGGCAAGCTACTCTGGGATACGCTGGCGGGCTGTTTTGGTGGGATACTCGCTGGCGAGCTACTCTGGCGGGATACTCCGGGAACCATTGGCAAGCTACTCTGGGATATATACTCAGCTCAGTGGGATACTCGGCGGGATCCACTGACGGGCTGCTTCCACTGACAAGCCGCACTGCGAGCAGCTCTGGGCAGTACTGGGTGGGCGGGATTGACTGGCCAGCTGCTCTGGCGGGATACTCGGCGGGGGCGAGCCGCTCTGGTGGGATACTCGGCGGGATCCACTGGCGAGATACTCGGCGGGATCCACTGGGGAGCAGCTCTGTCGGGATTCTCGGCGGGATCCAGTGGCGAGCTGCTTTGGCGGGATACTCGGCGGGATCCACTGGCGAGCTGCTCTGGCGGGATACTGGGCGGGGGCGTGGTGTAGAAGCGTCGCAAACGCGGATTCCAACATAAAATCTAACAACCCCTTCCTGTCGGGTGGGGAACAAACAAACAAGCAAGCGAGCGAGCAAGCAAGCAAGCAAGCAAGCGAGCAAGCAAGCAAGCAAGCAAGCGAACAAACAAACAAACAAAAAAACAAACAATCACACAAACAAAGACTAAAAACTAAAAAGCAAAAACATCCTCAAACCAGACAGACCGATGTATGTCACCTGCCCGGGTGAGGAATTTGCTTTTGCGCGCCGAGCTGGAAGAGCTGCGCGCGGCCAATGCGGCTGGGGATCCTTGGGACCTTTTGGAGGTGTCCCTGTTGTGTGCCACGGGACCTCGGAAAAAAGCTGGCCGTTTTTTAGCGGGGCTACGTTTTTTTTTTTTAAATGCTATTTTTAAATGGGGGCTGCATTTTTTTTGGGTTTGCGGGGGCTTATCGAGTAGCAAGCATTGCTGGGCGGATGCGAGAATAGATGACATAGCTTACGGGCTTGATTTCTTTTGGAAAGGCCTTTTAGGTGGTTGTCGCGAAGCTTGGATCACATTGTAGCAATCGCTGCTCACCATTGCTTTTGGCAGCAAAGATCTGGTCAGTGTTAAACTGGGGTTCTCATTTTGCTTCCCTTTAAGACGACCTGATACGGGTCCTAAGAAAGAGACAACGCACACACCCACACATTTCAAAGTTCAGTCTACGTATCCCGTAGTCGACGGTCAAATTGGGAGGGACATGGGCGGACTCACCAAGTTTCCAACACAATTAAACGGAACGCTTCGATTTTCTTATTTGATGTTACAGGGTCCCTGAATGCATACACTGGCCAGTCAGAAGTCAGCTTTACCGGTTACCAGGTGATTTTGGGGATTTAATTGTCAACTGGGATGGGTTTTCATGCGTGCTCATGTCCTTCATAAGACCGCATCCTGACCGCTCATGTGTGTCTATTCTTGGGCTGCAATGTGGACGCCGCGCTTACCCGCCCCTAGTGCGCTTTTCCAATAGGCTTAGGTTTCCAAAGCTGTTCCTCTCCGTAGGCGTTGGCCTCCGAGCCCCGCACTCCGAGTGCGGGCCCTGGTCTCGATGGGATGGGACAATGGGAGGCGCTTCTTTTGAGCTTGAGGAGCCAAACTTGAGAGGAGCCACAAACCCACATGCCGATTTCATGCCAAAAGCTATGTCGCTGTAATTTCTTGAGTGACTCTTGAATTTAACGTATTCTGGGCAGCATGTGCCAGATTCATTCTCCGCGACGACAATATTCAAACCAAAGAAATGCTGCGACACCCGGTCGCAAAGCGCCGTGTCATGCTGCAACACTTGCGGTTGCCATTCCCCTTTTTGCGACAGTCCCTCAAGGCATCCTCCACTAGACTCCCCGAAGTCGTTCCCAAAGGCGTCGCCCAAGACGACTGCAAACACCCTCCAATGACAACGCCCAAGACATTTGGAGACGTCCAAAGAAAGGCCCAAAAGCAACGCCCAAGACCTTCCAAAAACATCCCAAATTCACACCCAATTCGCAACTGAGAAATCTGTGGGCAATGCTTAAAAGTGCCTTGCCTGCCACGAAGAAGCGGCCCCCTCCAAAGTCCTGCGCCCCCTGCCACGGTATCTGAACACAATGCGTCAAAGTGCTGCCATGATAACTGTGCTCAGGCTCCAAAGTGCTGTGCCTGCCACAAAATCTGCGCGAAAAGCTCTGCCACGTGCCACGGAATCTGAACAAAGAGCACAAACGATGCCCCGGAAAGGTTGCGTGTAAACGAATCAAAGCATGCTAAAAGTGTCGCCCGCGACGAATTCCAACTTTGACACGTTCACCTCATGTTTCCAAGATTAGCGCAGACTGTGGCGTCAGAACGAGTTCGACTGTTTTGAGAAGCTTTCAAGCTTGCCAAAACGAGCCGATTGTACGACAGGGCCAACAAAAGCGACACTCGCACAAATGCTTGCACGAACATTCCACGCAAGACTCCTTAAACCGACCAGCAATCACAATGCTGCGGCAACGCGAAGACAGCCTTCTAAAGCATTTGAGCCTGCATAGCGAAACCGCGCGCAAAGTCGCAACAGCTACGATTGACGCACAGGCGCAATGGAGACAACATGTTGCAAGTCGCACAAAATTGCACGTTCTCAGCCTTCCCAAAGGCGCGGCCTTATCGCCGGTTGCGAACAGGACCTCCACCCCCCAGACCATCAGTTTGCGCCCAGGTTGCCCTCTTTGGTGAGTTAGGTTGAAGAGTGTGCCCAGTTGGAGCTAGACCCTTCTTGCATCGTAAAATGAACATGAAGCCCTGTTTGCATGCATGCATGCATGCATGCCCTCCCTCCCGCGTTGCTATGGTGCTTGACAGGAAAATGCGCCCTTCAACATTGGTGCTATGTGAGAGGAAGGGTGCTGCTTTGAGCACTCACTTTGATCATACCTTGTTTGAACTATATCGCTATGTATCATGGCCTTTGCATGGTGTTTCCGGGAACCTATGGTGATGACAGCAGGGCGCAAGAGTATCACATTTCCGCCAACGAGGAGTACACCTTCCCCACCCAGCTCCGTAGGCCGCGGGTCCCGGCCAGCGAGCCCAAGCACACCACGGCTGCGGAGCAGGACGCCGATGACGCCGAGGAGGGGATCCTTCTGCCGGATGATCATGGGGGGGTCATATTTGGGACTTTGGGCCGCACCTCAGCCCCTTCCATCCAGGATGGCGATGACACCCAGGATGCCGATGACACCCAGGACGCCGATGACCCCCAGGACGCCAACCACACCCAAGGCCCTGAGTTCGAAAATGGGGACGCCCAGTCAAAATCAAGGGTTTACCAGAGGTTCCCATCAGCCTTCTCTGGGACTCTGGGACTTGGATGTTCGCCCGGGCTCCGGCATCCCGTTGCCAGGCAAGGCCTGCGCCCAAATCTGCGCCGTGCACGCCAAGGCGGCAGGACCTGGGCTGAGGGCGCTTTTGCGGGGAACCGAGGGAACAACTTCCTGGAACAGAGAGGGAGGCAGGGAGGCGTGCAGTTCGTGCAGTTCGCAAGGGGATGAGACCGGACTTTTGGAGCACGTGCGCTATGATTTGATGGGCGTGAGTGTGGCCAAGTTCAGTATTGACACCTCCCACCTTATCGTCGTTTGCTGCAGCAAGGGTCCATAAGGCCTGTCAAGCGTTTCCCCAGCCCTTCAATGGTGCCTTCCCCGCTTCGGCCGTCGGTCGGGGAGGAAGGATCCTGCAAAGGGGATCCCCGTATTGGGTGCGTCTTTTTGAGGGTACCACTTGCTTGTAGTTTCTTTTTTGGGGGTCCACCAAAAAAAAAGGAAAAAGAAAAAACATCCACCAACGAAGCAAGGGGTTCGTATGGTGGCGGCAGTCAGTTGTCAGATGCCGAGTTCTAGCTGAGCCCTGATTTTCTTGCGCGGGCGGGGCTTGCCGCGCACTCCCCGAGGATCCTGTCCGGGCCGAGCCACGCCGCTCCCGCCATGGGCTTGGTGTGAGCTGTCTTCGAGGCCCAGAGCCAGCGCGGAACTGGGGATGCTTTGTTCCCTTTTGGCTTGTGAGTTCGCCAATCCAGGGGTAAAATGTGCTCACCATGGTGCGCCCGACGGGGATCTGGTCGCAGAGAGAGAGAGAGGGAGATGGTGTAGGTCCTCTACTGGGCGTTCCAATTCTTTTTTTTTTCAGGTTGTTGGAACTATTTCGAGATGCAGATATGCCCTGGTTTCTCAACTGTGGGCCAGTCTCATATGGGTTTGCCAAACAAAATCCAGGGGACCCCTTTGAAATGGGTGGTTTCCACTTGGTTTCCGTAAGCAACAGCTGCCCCGAAAAGAGCACCGAGCCTCAAGAAAAGATGAGCCAGCAAGGCTTGGAGCCGAAAGCGGCGCCAAAAAGCAGGCCAAGCGCCAGCGAGTTCGGATGGTTGTTGAGCTTCTCGACTTTGCATATATATATATATATATATATTATATGTATACACATACATACACACACACATATATATATATATATACATGTACATACATACTTATCTGTATATGTATAGATATGTACATATATATGTATGTATATTTATATACATGGATCATCCACTAAAGATATGTACATGGAATGGGGGGAGGGGAGACACATGTTGGTGGCGAACAACAAGGCGAGACTATGTCTAATTTAGCATGTTTTTGGAAGACCATTTTGATGGCAAAGAAAAAGAGAAACAACTGTTTGTGGATAGTGAGACCCGCTTCGAGCCCATTTGCAAGGCCGCTGGATCAGAATACTGGCAAGGCCCGAGTGGTTGATCGTGTTCATGTTGTGTTGACCCGGCCTACAGTTTGCAGAGGGCGTTTCATCCGGCTGATCTAGATCTGCCTAAACAAATTGGAAGCACTTTCGCAAGATTTCGCGCAGTTTCTTGTCTGGCGGTTCAGGCTCCCGCAGGCCGGCGCCTGAGAGAGACCTGTTATGAGATTGCAGGCAAGCGTGTTGGTACTTGAAGCAGCCTGTACGAGCAAACTGCAGCAAGCCGTGGAAGGAAACTCTTGGCTCAAGCTCGGCACATGCGCAGACACAACATTTCCACCTGCAGCCTGTGAACAAGACGTATTGCATGCTGCAGCAAATGGAAGCGTTTGGAGGAAGCGGTGTGAACTATCTCAAGAAACAGTTCAGCAGGCAAGCTCGATTTCTTTCAGAGATGCCACATGTTGAGATGGCAACATATTTCAGCGTTACTCTGGCAGGCATTTACATGCCGAGATGCAATCTTCAGGCATTTTAACCTCTGAGATGCCACTTTCCTAGGAGCGCCGATGGCCGAAGATGCTGGGCGCACTCGCGAGCCTGGGCGTGCTTCGGCCGGCCAAGGCCAAATGGGGACGGGCGAGCGAGACGTGCATGGCACAATTCAGCGCAATGAAATTAATCAGCATACAAGACATCCAAGGCGTAGACGACACACAGGACACAGAAGGCATACAATACACACAAGACATACAAGACGAAGACATGCAAGACACAGCATGGCCTCCGAACCATGATGCAAGCTTGGCAGGACAAGCTGAGTGCTGCGGAGCCTGCCGCAGATGAGGTCATTCCTTTCAACAGAGAGCCTTTGGCCAATGCGGTTTGGATTTTGCATGGATTTTGCCGGGTGTCTGCAGATAACTCTGATGGGGGCTTTACCCGGATTCTTGGCCACCCTCGAGAAGCTTCGTGGCTTCTCGCTTGTGGGGCTTTTCGCTTCCCAGCCGCTGGCACGATCCTTTTTCTTTTGAACTATGATTGCGCTCTTCAGAAATCAACGCGCTCTGCCTCGCTTCCGTGTTCAAGTGAGTCTTGTCGTTGCTGCTTTTGCATGCTGATTTGTCTTTAGAATCCTTCTCGCATGTGTCACGGCTCACTTTCCCCCTTTCATTTGCTCAAGTACGGGTTGTTGACATTGATTCGAGCTAGCCTTCACATCAATGTGTGATGGCGGACAGAAAATGCGAGAGGTGTTCTTTGGTTACCCGAAGGAAGGCGATACCAAGAGGTGACAAAGGCACCAAGACAATTGTTTCCTCTTGGGACGCCTCCAGGAGAAAGAAAAGAAGAGACACATTTTCAGAGGAATCCCGTACCAGTAAGAATGAATGCAACCGTCTAAATAGCGGAGAAAACCACCCACCAACTGGTGCAACGTGGATGTTGACAGCACAGGGTTTGTTAAAGGACACCAAAAAAAACATCTGTTTTGTCCCGGGATCCTCTATGTCATCTGAAAAAATGACTTTTTAACTGACCCAAGTATCCCTTACACAAATGAACAGAAAACTCAAAAACCCAAATTCACTAAAAGTAGGCTCCTCCAAGCACGGGCCTCGTGGGTTTGTTTTCCCGGGGCCGTCCGCGCGACACCGAGGACCGCCGGCCGCCCAGGCAGCTGGCGACCTCGGAGCTCTGCGCGGCGGGGGAAAAGATCTCGAGCCACTGCCCCTCGGACGGAAGGCGAAGCGCGAGCCCGCGGTTAGGAGACCCCGGAGGAAGGAGCTGGGATGAGGCCATGGGCAGTGCCTCCTTTCACCCGTGCGGCGCCAAGTTTCTTTTGTTTGGCGGGGGGGGGGAGGTTCCGTTTGGAAACAAGTGGGTGCCCTCAATGGGGACCTGTACACTTGCTTGATGGTGGGAGGGTAGTTTCAGTTCCAATTTTGACCGGGCTCCGCCGGCGCTCAAGCAGCTTTCAAGGGGCCAACTTTTCGGCAGAGTGGCCTCGCTTTTTAGAAGGACCCACCACCCTTCAGATAGGTTCGCAAGCCACCCGTCCTCGAACCTCTAACAAGTTCCTGTCCAAACTCCTGGATAAAGCCAATCCAACGTTTCAAGTAAACACTCGCACGAAATGGAGGCCGTGTTTTCTATCATTATATAGGTTGTCTTGCAGGGAAAGCAATACCATATTTGTTTCTTTGTTTTTCCCCAGATAGCTGAAAGCTATAGGGGTTCTAACTTGTAATAGAGACGGGAAAGTGACTTGCAAGATTGACGGCGTGGTGCAGATGCCGTTAGGGTGTGCTGTTTGGGGAGCTGTTTGTGGTGCCTGCTGCTTTGGGACGGTGTCTTGGAGTGCAGCATTTTCGGCGAGATTGACAGCCGTGTGGGGGTGCTTTTTGCCGCGTGCTGTTAGAGGTGCTGGTGTGCAATCATCCGCCTGTTTTTATCACTATCTGGGGCTATGCTGGAGATTTTTTGGACGGGGGACCCCCCCTAGCCCTGTGCAAACACACACAAGTAGTGTAAGGGTATGTGTGTATGTGTGTGTGTGTGGCTGGGTGTGGGTGTGTGTGTGTGGGTGTGTGGGCGGGTGTGTGTGCGTGTGTGTGTGTGTGTGTGTGTGTGTGTGTGTGTGTGTGTGTGTGGGTGCGTGCGTGCGTGCGTGCGTGCGTGTGTGTGGGTGTGGGTGTGGGGGTGGGCGGGTGAGGGAAGACGATGCAAGGATGGGTAGTGGGTGGGTGGCGCGTCTTTCTTTCTTTCTTTCTTTCTTTCTTTCTTTCTTTCTTTCTTTCTTTCTTTCTTTCTTTCTTTCTTTCTTTCTTTCTTTCTTTCTTTCTTTCTTTCTTTCTTTCTTTCTTTCTTTCTTTCTTTCTTTCTTTCTTTCTTTCTTTCTTTCTTTCTTTCTTTCTTCTTTGTTTCCTTCCTTCCTTCCTTCCTTCCTTCCTTCCTTCCTTCCTTCCTTCCTTCCTTCCTTCTTTCTTGCGCCGGCTCCTGGATTGTCTCCCTTGCCTCCCCATGGTTGCCAGCTCTTGGTCAGATGCCAGATGCTGTGACGCCGGCTCGGGGTTTGCTGTGACGCCTCTCCCGCTTGCCTCCCTGTGTCTCCCAGTTTCTCCCCCAAGTCTATGGTCAGATGTTAGATGCTGTGACGCCGGCTCCAGGGCCCTGTTTCAGCTGCTATCCCCTGCTTGTCTCCCTCCGGCCAGATGCCAGATCTGGTCTGTTTGGTCAGATGCCAGATGCTGCGACTCCAGCTCCGGGGTCGTGCCCCCGCCCCCTACATCTTTTCTCTTTCACCCGCTTGTCGCCTTGTGTGTCCGAGCCTCTCCCAGATGCCAGGCGCTGTGACGCCGTCTCTGGGGTTGTGTCTCTCGCTTGTCTCCGGTCAAATGCTCAGATGCCCAATCTCTCGGGTCAATTGCAAGATGCTGTGGCGCTGGCTCGGGGTCGTGTCTCCCGCTTGTCTCTGTGTCTTCAGTCTCTCCGGTCAGATGCCAGATGCGGTGACGCCAGCTCTGAGGGTTGCGTCTCGCGCTTGTCTCCTAATGTGTCCGAGTGTTTTCCCAGACGCCATGCTGTGACGCCGCCCTCACGCCCTGTCCCTGCAAGGGGCCGGCATCACCCTGTGTGGTTCTTGTTTGCTGTTTGGGGTTGTGGCTGGTGTAATTTGTTTTGCATGTTTCAGCAAAAGCCACACCTTGGCGTCTGTTGTGGGCTTTGCGCTTCCGAGGCGAGCAGCTGCACTTCTGGCGAGGCCAGAGCCTGGAAATGAGGCAGGAGCTCCAAGAGCAGCTGACGCGCTGGCCAGGCCGGGGGCAGATAGCCGAGTTTGGCCCGGGATGCACAAGATGTCCCGGGCTCGTGTGAATGGATCAGGGTAGTCTTGAGGCACATCCCGGATTGGGGAAGTACAGCAGGAGTGAGTTGTATCCAACATGAGCAAAGCGCAAGCAAAGCAGAGAGAGAGAGAGGAACAAAAAGAGAGTGGGAGACAGAGCTTGCAAGCGTGGGAGGGAGAGGTTGAGTTTGGGGCTGTGTGATGCTTGTATTTCCCCTCGCCAGCCCGTTCGCGCGTGGAGCGCCGGGATGAGCTGGTGGTGCGGCTCCGGCACCTGCGCCGGATGCTGGCGGCACGGCAAGGAGGACGCGGTTCTTGGGGTGGGGGGTCCCGAAGCATTTTGAAGGACGCGCTTTTGGGCTGTGGTTTCATTTTGCGGTGCCCGCCTGTGTTTTTTTTTGGACCGCCCCGCCGCCAGCTGCTTTGCATGAGGATTCCTTTGTCACGAGCTTCAGAGCTTTGTTCTGCCGGTTTGTTGCAGGGCTCCGGATGCTGCGCGCGCAGAGGGAGGAAGGAGAGCGGTGTGACTGGCCGGGACCTCTGCTGGCAACCCGCCACTCCACCGATGTAAACTGCCTTTCATCAGTTCGCTATGTGTGGATGTCGTTTTGCAGGCTATTTCGGGGTTGACTTGAAGGGAAAACCAGCCATTGGGAAAACCAGCCATTTGGGGGTGTTTGCTCATGAACCAATTTTTGTGCTGAAATCCGCTGCCTGCTTGTCAGGGACCGTGAAGTCTCCTCTGAGGCCACTAGCCCGAGAACACGCCCTGCAGGCAAGTTGAGGGTGCACTTCTTCTCTTTGGTTTCAAGGGACGCACCAAGACAAACCACAACTTTTGGTGTTCTGTGCTGGCACATTGGTTGCATGAGCTGAAAGGAGCGTATTACAATTTGACCTTTCAGCCCACGTCCCCTGCAAGGCATGCGCTGCCAGTGTGGCCTCAGAGCAGTGGTGGCAAGGTTTGCAGCGTGTCAAGGTGGGACCGCACATCTTGTGATTCGCATCTCACACTCGGATTTGCAACCTTTGTCTTCCCTTTTGGCTTCTTCTCCGCACTCCCATTTCTCTGGGTGCAATGGGAGCCTTGCCACATGGAAGTGCAGCTTCCCTTGAGAGAAGTTTTTTTCTTGAGGATAAGCCACAAGGAATCCACCCTGCCACAAGGAAGTGTCCCCTCGAAGTTGGAAAGCTGGTTTCCTTTTGGGCAAGGGTTTGCGTACATGGGTGTGGGTCAAAATTAAGCACCAGGATATGGACCGCAGGTTTGAGTCCTTGGTTCAGGGTTCCATTCTAGGTACCTATTTTTGACCCACAGCCACATAATTCTTGGCGCGAGGGTGCCGCACAGTTGGCCAGGAGCAGCTGCAATGCGCGAGACCAGCGAGCGCGTTGGCCATGGAGGCAAGTGCTCGACTGCCGCTTGCTTGGATCTGAAGCCTGCAAGTTTTGGCGGGGAAATGTGAAGCGCCCCTTTTTTTCTTCTCGGCTGCAAGTCCAACCGTTTGCAGGGGAGGGGGGGGGAGTAGCCACAAGGAGCAATTAGGGCTTCAGTGGATTGGCGTGGGCCATGCTGATAAAGCTTGTACCTACGCATGGGGCCGAGTGCTAGCCGAGAAGCAAAGGATTGTGGAGAAACACCCCGAAAGGCCATCTTCAAAGGGAACCGCAACTCGGTTGGTTAATCAGTTTTGTGGTTTGAGCATGTTTCTTTTTCCAAGGTCTTGATTTTTGCGCAACCCTGGCTGCAACCTGAGTAAGCGGACCAGACACCTTTGCAAAGCCAAACCTACCGACGAAAACTTAGGGTGGGGGGTGTTGAACACCCACTTCGGGTGGGGGTGTTGCTGCCAGGCTGAGCTGCGAAAAGCCTGGCTCAGGCTGCGGTGCCAGCAAATGCGACAGCTGCAAGAGCTGTGGCTGGTGTACCCCCTGCAGCAGTGCGCCTGGTCACTAGGTGTGTCTGAAAAAAGGGGGACACCGAACATGGTTGGTTTCCCCTTGGTTTCCCTTCAAAAAAGCTGCAAACAAAACGCAAGGAGCACCCCAAAATAGAGCCGCCTACTTCATAAGCCCACAACCCGGTCGTTTGCTGCAAGTTGGCTCATCTCAAAGCCATGGACAATTGAACTTGAGGACTGCTTGCACGTGGGGAGAGAATGGCAGTCCTCTACTTTTGGGGGGAACCCCACGCTGATTCGGGGATCTCCGCTGGCGCGCGGTTGACTTCCAAAATGGCCGCAAAAAGTAGGAGAGAGCGGACGCTACTTTTTTCCAACCCCAAAGGGGTGCAAATCTGGAAAACTTACCGAAAGGCATGACTGCCTTCCAAACGCGGCCTGGCATCAAACCAAGACACGCATGACACTTCGGGCTACACCGGGGCAGCACTCCATGTCAAGAGTGAACCTGACCAGGCAAGCACGTGGTGGTTGCCTGTGGCAATAGGGTAGCAAGCTTGAGGTGTGGATGCGGGCAGCCTTGTGATGACAACGCATCGGACTTATTAAAACTGACAAGATTCCTGGATCGGACGGTGAGGAGCAAGCGGGATACAACAAAATTGAGGATGAGAGCAGTGGCCTAGCCACAGGCCTTCTAGCATGCATGTGGGCCATTGTTTGTCTCATTTGTTGCTTTTTTTTGCGGGGTTTTCAGAGGCACCTCGCACTGGACCATCCGCGGCCTCGTTCTGCGCGGCACGGAGAGCTTGAAGCACCAAGATCCCCGAGAGGAGGGGAGGGAGACATTTTGACAGGTCATTTTGTTCTTTTCGGGGGGGGGGGGGGCGGGTAATTCATTTTTTTTGAAAGGGAAATTAGAAGGATGTATTGTATAGCCATTGGCTAAGGTCGGACAGCATTGGACTGCACGCATTTTCAGGGAGTCCCCATTTTCATTTTGGCAGTGGCTAGGGCTTCCTTTAAGGCCTATTGCCGGTTTTTGGCGATGGAATGCCAAAGGCACAATCCCCTGGCCATGAGCAGGTGCGGATATCCACACACCGCCCTTGCCCTTTCATTTTTTGTTTACCCTGGCTTGGGTCCTGCTTGCTCAAAATGTCGTCGATGCTTTCCGATTCGAGTGCAGGAACAAGAGGTCAGCACGGCGCTTGGCTTTTTGGGGCACTTGCTGCTGACAGCTGCGAGGCTTTTGCAGGCATGTGGGGGTAGTGGGTGCCATGGACACTTGAAACAGTACAGACACTTAAAACCTAAGACCCCAAGGGCGGTGGCTGTCTACCATACCCGAAGGTTGGCGGGGTAATTAGGGTGGGGGTGTGGTGGGCCCTGCCGCCCCGCCGCCCCGCCGCCCCGCCCCGCCGCCCCTCCCCGCCGCCCCGCCGCGCCTCCCCGCCGCCCTGCCGCCCGCGCCCGCGCCCCGCCCCCGCCCCCGCTCCCCGCGCCCGCGCCCCGTGGCCGCGGGATTTTTCTCATCCCCTACCGCTTGCATGGCAAGGTAGCGCATGTCCCTGACCGTTTTCTGATGGCAGCGTGCCTCATGCTACGATCTTGGGAGTTTGGAGCCAGATCATCACTACTTGGAAGTGTGGCTTCAGTTCTAGAGAGTTCATAAGAGGCAGCAAAGAAGAGTTTCGCTTTGCTCTTTGTCATTTGTTCAGATGGCTTTTGTGTTGGAAGCCTACTGGAACAGATCTGCGCATCTGCCTTGTATTACCCCGAAGCCGACTTTCCGCTTTTTTGGCTTCCCTTCAAGCCAATCCCATGACTGGGCGTTTTGGTCCTTCGAATGACGCTTATTGGCTTTGTGGCTTCTCCCAGAAGCGACCGACGCACCGAGCGAAGTCTCGGAGGTTCCCCTGCAGCTGGAGATCCGGCGCGCCGGGTCCTCCAGAAGCTGCCTGGTGGTGGCCTGAGCGAGGGATCCGGGGGGCTTGGGGTTGGAGACTGGGATCTTGTGACCGGAAATGTTGACTTTTTGTCTGAATTTCAACCTCAGTTTATAAATTGGGGGCGGGGTGCTTCTCCCTGGGTTTGGTGGGGAATCATCACGTTTGGAGAGGAACACCTCCTATTAAACAACTGGGGTTGATGAATATGGGGTCAACATAACCCTTCTGAGGGTTTTGAGCAGTGCTGGTTAGAAGAGTTGCTCCCAACATTGCTCAGATGACACTCTGAAATTGCCAGGAACACCGCTGAAGGCGGCAATTTCCCGGCGCACGACCCCCTTTTCCAACCATCATGGAAGTGGATTGGGACAGGTGCACCAAACTTGCGGAACCTTTCGCCTTGAAGCCCTGCCTTGTTGCCGTTTGGGGTATTCCACTGGGGCCTTTGGGGGGACGCCCCTGCGAACTCAAATGGGCCACAATCAAAACCCGGGTAGCTGAAGGTAAGTACGGGACAATCCCAGCCATAAATAGCTGCGGCCGCCTTCTTACTTCTTTACATGGTTCTGGGTAGACCATTTTAATACCGGGTTTTGATTATGACTCAAATGCTCTCTGCTAAGGTGGACCTCAACGAAAGCCCAGACGCCGCCCAGGCCACCTTCCTGAGCCGCATGGGAGGCAGGTGAAGCCGAACCCGGTCGCTGGGTTTCGGGGGGTGGATCCCATTGGTCGGGTCCTCTTTCCGTTTTGTTTGGTGTTCTGGGTTGGATCTTTGGACTTTGTGCTAACTTTTTGGAAAATCGAGGGGGTTCCCACTGAAGCCACAAAAAGCTAATTTTTGCAGAGGGCTCAACAGCAACCAAGTTAGTATCATCAGAATTTGCTTTGACTCAAGTGCGATTCGGCCGAGACTTCGCCAGGCACGTCAAAGCGACCGGGTGAGTGGCCCCTGCACTATGGGCGGCAAGTGGAGAGGCGGAAGGGCTCGGGAGGATTTTGCCAGGGAACTGGCTACACCGGGATAAGGAGCATGATTCCTCCTTACTTTCCCCTTCTTTCTTTTAACCACCAGATGTTCCAACGGTTCCAACGGGTCGGCAAAGCAAACGGAACCCTTTTCCAGGAACCACACCCATCCAACCGGTGAGGCAGCACTTTGAGGAGGCCTTGCGGCTTCTGGAGGCAGGCCTCCATCAGTTCCCCGGCGGCATGGGTGGATGGTTTCCCGTTCACCCCCTTTAAGCCAACCCTCCCAAAAAGGGTTTCTTTCACCCAAGAAAAAGGCACTCTGGTGTCCTGTTTATGCAAACTGCCCTGTTGGAAACACTTTCTTGTTGTTATATTTTGAGGGTACTTGTTTGGTTGTAAAGGCCCTGTTTTAAGACAATGACCCCCTTCTTAGCAACAGTGCGAAAAGGTTCCAATTCATTTTTCTAGCATCACTGGACAGGGGGGCCGGGGTATCCAAGACTGGGCTCTCAAAAGGAGGTTCCTGCGTGCAAGGTTCCTCTACAGCCGGGGGTACCTCAATCATCAAGAGCTGAAGGGCTGCAATCTTCTCAAGTGCGCGGATGCGATGTTGAGGCATGAGATTTATGGCAGCGAGCTACAGTCATGAAACCTGCAAGTTGCAGGCGCCTCGATTCGACCTCCAGTGGGTCGGTTCCTTTTTCCATTTTTTTGGAGGCGGCTTGGCTTTGATATCTATCGCCGTAAACAAGGTGTCCTTTTTGCCCATAGCCATTGCACTGGAGGTCCGGGGAACTGTGGCCTCTCGAACATACTCCCGTTTCACCCAGCAGGGAGTGACGGGCATTCTGCCCACTCGTTTCACGCGATTTCAGCATCGCGGCCCAAAAAAAAAGGTGGTTCGGCCGGCTGCGGAGCGCAAGAAGTGGCACCTTGAGGGCAGCGCTTCTCGGCTTAGGTGAGCGGGCGGCTTGGGCCAATGCTCTCTGGGAGCGCGGGCAGTGGGCAGTCGGGCAGTGGGGAAGTGTGGCCCTGGCCATTTGCAGGGAAGCAATGCTTCGAAACGGCCTTTGGAAGCCGGTGCCGTGTTTCTGCCCGTCCCGCAACTTGCAAAGTACACATTTGCAATTGGTCCTGGTGCATTGATTGGCTGCTTCAAGATGCACGTGATAGCGTACTTTCTGATCCGAGCTTTCAAATCCGCAATGCACTCGAGCCGACCCTTTGGCATCAGCCCCCCACTCGCCGCGCAAGCAGCGGCCGTCTCAAAGCCCCAGTTCGCAGACTGAGCGGTGAGTGGTGTCTTGCTAGGGCCTGGCCAGGCGGCCAGGCGGCTTGATGTGCAACGGAGACCGGCTCTATTTCAATCAGAGTTGACCCTGTTTCCTGGCCCAGTCCATCTGTGCACTTGTGTTCGTTTCCTTGCAGCACCATAGTTAGATACTTAGACAATCACGGTGTGGGTTTATTCAGGGGACCATGTCCTTGACCATGGCCCGCATTCTTGGGTTTTGACCACGGAACATGGGCTTCAGAAAGCCACCATTTTGGGAGGTCCAAGAACCTTCATGCGCACGTACCTACAACGATTTCCCACAAGCGCCCTCCGCTTTGAGACGGCCTCGGAATTCTCCATTTTACACATGTTTTAAAACAACAATTCTAGACCTACCCACTATTTCATCGTTGCTCCGCTCGCCCTTCCAAAATATCTGTTTCGCCGGGACGGGTCTCGGCACGTCAGTCGGCAGGAGCAGCAGCAGCGCGCGGAGCGGTGCCACGAGCAGCTGGCGGCGAGGCGAAGTCAGCAGGCGGAAGCTCGGCAGCGGAAGAGCCAGGCGGGATCCGGGGGGCCGCCCGCGGGGTGGCCCGGGGCAGCGGCGGGGGAGGGGGCATCGATTTGGGGGATAGCTGGTGCTCCCCCCTCCCCTCCCCAAACAAAAAGGGAAAAGAGGCAAGACAACAACACAACAAGCAAGCAAGCAAGCAAAGAAGCAAACAGCAAGCCTTTCTGGAAAACTGATTTCCAGGGGTTCCCGTTTGAGGTTCCATGAGCGCATCTTCAGGTGCTGCAGAGAGCATCAGGCTTGTCGCAGGAGCTGAAGGAAGCAATGGCAGGCGGGCTTCTCACGAGCTCACTGACTCTGTTGATTCATGGGGGGAGCCATTTGGGTGCAAAGCCTAATTTTGTCCATCCCCGACTTCCAGATCGTGATCTCTAGTCATTTGGTCGGCTGCCCCCCTCCAAAAAAACGGAAGGTGACAGAAAGGCACCACTGGAGGTCTGGGCCAGGCACCCCTCACAAGCCTAGGTTCATTCGAAAGGAGCTTTCCTCGGTATCACAGAGGGTGAGCGGTTGGGGGGTCCGGGACTGGACTGTGAGCCTCCGCAGCCTGAGCTGGGCTCAAATCAGCTTCCGTCTGCCAGCCACAGCTTCATATCACGGCCCAGTTTGCGTCGATTTGGCTGGACGCCAGCCGTATGCGGATCACACAGCTGCCTGGCAAGTGCGAACATTCCGAGAAATCAGGAGTGGGGGGCTTCTCTCATGCCTCTGAAATCAACTACCACAAGAGGCACTTCTTTTTTTCCCCAAAATTCCACAGGTCGCTTCACATCGAAGTCGATCCAATTTTGGGGCTCTGAGGCGGATCCGATGTGGCGAAGCCTTCTGTGCCTCTCACTTTTCCTTGGCGCTCGGTAGCCCAGGTGGGATAATCCCATGGCCTGGCTTGATGTCGTTTTGATTTTGTTTGACGTTTCAAGGAAGCGGGACAGGCTTCCCTTGGCATGGAGGGTTGGAACTTTGGTCACCTGCTGCTTGGCTTGCAGCTTTGCTGGGCACGATGCTTCAACATCGCGCAGTGCCGCCATGGCTGTCCACAAGCCGGAGGCGATCTCGCGGTGGGCGACCGGCTACGGTCGGCGCTTCCGCTGCTGCAATGCCGTGACTCGAGTGGTGCTGTTTGGATGTTTGGGGATGGCCTTGTTTGGCTATGACACTGGGGTGGTTTCTGGGGCTATGGTGCTGGTCAAGCAGGACATTGAGCTTGACACAGTGGAGGTGGAAGAGGTGGTCTCTATCACGCTTGTATGCTCTGCTTTGAGCACTGTGCTGGGAATTCCGCTGAACTCCATGTTCGGCCGCAAGGCAGTCATCATGTGTGCCGCAATTCTGTACATCGCCGGCTCTATTGTCATAGGCCTGGCTGAGGGCTTTTGGCGCCTCTTCCTGGGCAGGGCCATTCTGGGCATTGCCATCGGCCTTGCTTCGGGCACGGTGCCCATGTATTCCGCCGAGCTGGCTCCGCCCAAGTCCCGGGGCTCCATCGTCACCCTCACAGATCTGAACATCGTCTTTGGGCAGCTTCTCGCCGCAGCCTCACAGCCCTTGGCATTTCTTAAGAGTTGCCGTTTTGTGGCTTCTGTTGACGTTGACGTTGTTCTTCAGCTGTTTGTGGTTTTGTGTTGTGGTTCTGTTCATGTTTTGCGGGGGGCTGCGCCCACAGGGCTTCTCTGATCCAGTGCTTGCGGTTGCCACTAAGGCATCCAGGTCTAGTTGTCACTAGGTTCTTACATTCTGGTTTTCGACCGTATCTCATGCGGGCTGGTGGCGGGGGGGGGGGGGCCAAATAAGGCCTTAGTGAAGGCCTTAATTCCTCCCCTCCCTCCCTCTCTCTCCTCCCTCCCTCCTCCCTCCCTCCCTCCCTCCCTCCCCTCCCCTCCCCTTCCCCTTCCCCCTTCCCCCTCCCCTCCCCTCCCTCCCCTCCCTCCTCCCCTCCCTCCCCTCCCCTTCCCCCTCCCCTCCCCTCCCCTCCCTCCTCCCCTCCCCTCCCTCCTCCCCCTCCCCCTCCCCCTCCCCCCTCCCCTCCCCTCCCCCTCCCCTCCCCTCCTCCCCTCCCCCCTCCCCTCCCCTCCTCCCCCTCCCCCTCCCCTCCCCTCCCTCCCTCCCCAGCCATCTGAAAGCAGCGGGGTAAGGCATTGGTGAACGTGGCCTTCAAGGACGTGGCCAGCGGGTGGCGCTACTCCATGGGCCTCGCCGCAGCGCCGGCGGCTGTTCTGCTGCTGGGGTTTCTTGGCTCGCCGTGCAGCTGGCGGAATCGCTTTCGGCGTTGATTTTGGGGATCCAAATGGAAACCCAGCTTTTCACGGGGCCCCCTCTAAATGGAGGAAAAACAACCGTGGACTTGTTGACTTGGCTGTTCCTTCTTCTTCTTTTTTTTTTTTTAATAAAGATATCAGGGTGACGAGTATCCCAGAAACGGCTTCAATGGAACTGAGGTTTGTGTTCCTGCCAGAGAGCCCCCGGTGGCTGGCCTTAAAGGGCAGGTTGCCGGAGGCCGAGGCAGTGTTGCAGATGATCACCGACAAGGCGACGGACATGATGTCGGCGTGTCACTTTTTTAAGGGTAGCCTTGTTTCCATTCCTTTTTTTTTGTGTGGGGGGGGGGGGGGGGGTGGTGGTTGTTATATGGAAAACTAAAAGGATAGCCGCTTTTTTTCTTGGGGGGAGGGCCCCAAAAAACGACGCACCGGTGCTGTGAATCTTAATTGCGGAGCCCTGCTGTCCGCAGTGAGGTGGTTCCCGATTTAAACTCCCACCTACGTGTCACTTTAGGCCCCCCCCAAAAAATGGCGGGTTTCCCTGTAGCGCCCTTGAGACCAAACTGCAGGAGGGCAACACGCCAGATGGACACTTGGGTTTTCGTCTGTGATACCGACCAAGGGTTTCCCCTCCAAAGGGACTTAAAACAGTCATAGTTGCATGGGCCCACTCTAGTAGCACAGGGGTGGCTTTCCGTGGGGATAGGCCGAGGATGTGCCCCAGTGTCTGGCAGACATCCAAGAGGCGGTGCAGAGGGAAGAGATGCCAGATGCCCAGTGGTTTCCGAGCGCTTTTTGGGTGTGGTTCCTTCTTTTTGGTGGTGCACCGTTGTTTCTGAGGTCAATGGGAAACCAAAAGGAACACCAAAGCCATTTTGGGGTGTCCAAGCTGAAACACGGCACACCCTTTTATTTGTTTTTGGGAAGGGGTTTCCCTTTCAAGACTAGGTAACCCTTAGTTGGTGTTTTGTCTTTGAAGGTTTGGGAAACCCTCCTTAACCAAATCACCAATCCAAACCACCGATTAGAGGGAAGCTGACAAGACCAACCAACAAAGAAAGGGTCCATTTTTCCCCGACTTGCAGCCGAGGCCGGCAGCCAAGGATGGAGCATGCAATGCACGTCTCAGTCGTAGCATTCAGAAGCTCACTGCGGTTTGGTGCACGAAGGAAGTGCGGCGTGCTGCTGTGCTTGGAATAGGCCTCATGGCCATGCAGCAGCTGTCTGGCATCAACACCGTCATGTACCATTGTCGGACTTAATTCACCTTAGGCGTACAAGGCCCTTTTGGTTGTCTTTTTCTGTTGCAGTTTCCCTCCTCACCATCAAACAGTTGAAGCACCGAACAATGTGTAAGGGGGTCGGCTCAGCGTGGCTAAGGTACTACTCCACAACCATTCTCTTGAGTGCCGGCTTCTCCAGAGATGCCCAGCTGAGTGGCACATTTGTTTCCCCAGCTTTTGGGGCATGGGTTCAGTTTCCAACCAAACGGAACGGGTTCGATTCACGTGGATAGGGGGAAACAAAAAGGCGCGCCTTCCAGGGGGTAGCCTTTGCCGGCCGAGGATGCGTCCATCTGGCTTGCGGCTCTGTGCTGTGCGGCCCAGATGTTGGGTGTGGGGATCTCGGTGCTGTCCATGGACCGCCACGGGCGACGAGACTTGGGCATCGGCCTGTTTCTTAGGTTGTTTGGTTCTCGTTGTCAGGCGGCCACGGAGAACAGGAGCTTTGCTACATGTTGAGATGGTGCTCCTTGGGTTCTGTTCATTCTTTCGGCTGCAGAGACCGAGGAAAGACGGCTTTGCGCTCCACCGTGGGGGTGGGGCTCACGCTCACGCTGCTCTCCGTAGCCTTTGAGTGTCATGGGGACGTGTGGAACTACGTGGAAGTAGTGGCCCTGGTGCTCTATCTGGTCTCATTCGGCGCGGGACCTTTGACACGTCGATTCGTTTCTCCATTTTGTTTTAAACAAGCGAGCAAAGGTTGCGCTTGTTTGGCCTGTTTGGCGCTAATCACATTGATATTTAGCCTGTTTGGAGCTGAGTTGTGCAGAAAGGTGGTTGTTTTTCCGCAAACTCCGCGAAAAACCGTCCTTTACCACGAGGCGGGGTTTGGTTGCGAAGCCCTTTGAAGGACTTCGCACCATTTTTCGGTGTCAGAATATCGGGGGCCGCTTCAAAATGCGAGCGGTTTCCCTTTGGTTTCCCTTTCAGCTCCCCCCCCCCGCCCCCGCCCCGAGCCCCCCTGAGCCTCCAAAAACGGAGCCACGCACGACGCAGGACTCTCCGGGGTACCCTGGGTCATCAACGCGGAGATCTACCCCGCGCGCGTGCGGGCCGTGGCGGTAGGACAGGCCACCTTCTTCAACTGGCTGGCCAACTGGCTCCTCGGAAAAGGGGGCATTTTTGGTTTCGTTCCTGCGGTCAGTCGTCCAAAAAATGAGTGGGTTCGGCAAACAAAACGAGTTGTTTGGATTCCTAGTCTTCGGTAGGTCCCACAAATACAGGGTTTCCGAGCCGTTTCCCTGTTGGGAGCCTCCAAACGCGGAGATATCAAGGAAGCCACCAGTAAATTCATCAACTCTTGATTTGGGGAAATCGAGTGGCCCCTGTTTGGACCTGGTACTCTTTGGTGCCTTTGGGTTAGGGGCACCAGGGCAACACACACACACACATATATTCGTGTTTTGTTTTGGAAAGGGGGGGGGGCCTGCCGTTAAGTGGTTTGGAGGTGTGGTAATTCCATTTTTGCAGTTTCTTGATATCTGCCAGTGAGGTGCTTCGGTGTTCTGCGGTTGGTCAAAGGGAAGCTAGAATACGAAAAACATGGCCTACCGCCAATTTTGGCGGTGTTTTTGTGGAACGTTTTGACTTTTGACCTTCAACTTGCTGGCAACTTGGGGCATTTTTTCTCCGAGTGACGAGTGACGCTCTCCGAAGGTTCGTGGGGCGCTACTTCCTGAGCCTTTGCGCGTGGCTGGGCACGGGCGGGGCCTTCTCGGTCTTCGCAGGGTTCAGCGCCGTTGGGGGCCTGTGGCTCTACTGCGTGCTGCCGGAGACGGCGGGCAAGTCGCTGGAGGAAATTGAAAATCTTTTCAGGGAAAACGCCACATCGCAAAGCGAGAGCGAGAGCGACCCCACCGAGGACTCAGAGTAGGTTTGCTGCTCTTTTTTGCTGTTGTCATAATTGTTTGTACATGGACCTTTGGGACGGCGACTTCATTTGGATTAGGTTTGCCATTGAATTCACAGAGGCACTCGCCGAGTGAGTGTATTCCGTGGTTCGGGCGAAGCGCCCTTGATTTTACCAGAGACTCGTGTAAGAAAAGCTCAAGGGCCAAAACATCTCCGCATGTCGTTCAGCCGGCTGGCCGAGGGACACTAGGCAGCATTTGTCTAGTCAGCGCCGGCAAAAATTGGCCCCCACATTCGAGCAGACATCATAGAGCTCCTGTGGACAGCCTAATTACAGAGGTTGCGCAGGGCCCGGTTTCTTAAGTCAGGCCTCCAAATAGATGCATCTTCCATGGCTAAGTCTTGCACTTGTGGCATGCATGTTTTCGGCTATGGCTTTATCTGCCCATATTCGCAGGGGCGCCTTCCCCAAAGGGCGGAACACCGCAGCAACCGCGCCATGTCACCATGTCCACGCGGCACCACATGAGCCACAATAAAAGCCTGGGTAGGTGAAGGTTAGTAAGGCAAAAGCGGCCGCCTTGGTAGCTCTTTACATGGTTCTGGGTAGACGATTTCATTCCGGGTTTTGATTGTGACTCACATGAATGAGGCTTTGTTTAATCAGATTGGTCTCAGCAACGTTGCCGTTCGTTAAACTCAACATTTTGCATGTGCGACGTGGGACAGACAACTCAGGAAGGTTTGCGGATCGCTAGGGGGCCTCTGTTTGGGATTCTTGCAAGATGGGGCGTCCGCTGTTCAACAAATTCCAATTCTACAAGAGAGGGAGACAGAGAGAGAGAGAGAGGTCAAAGTCGCTTGGCCCACCGCCGGGGGAAGCTCCCCTGAAAAGTGAAGGCAAGAAAGAAAGAAAGAAAGCAAGGAAGGAAAACCTGGAAGGAAGAAAGAAAGAAAGAAGGAATGAGCAACGAAGGAAAGGACAAATAAATACAGAAATAAAGAAGGAACGAAGGAAAGCAAGGACAAGGCAAGGGAGGGACAGGAAGCCTAAGGAAACAAAAGAAAGGAAGGAAGGAAATAAGAAAGACAGATATATATATATATATATATATGTGTATATATATATGTACATATGTATATATATATATATGAGTATAGGTATATGTGAAAGGAAAGAAAGAAAGAAGGAAGGAAGGACAAGGCAAGGAAGGAAAGGATAGCAAAGCACCGCACAGGAAAGCAAAGGAAAGGAAAGCAAGCAAGGAAAGAACTACAGAAAAATACTACGGTCGATCGGCATGTTAAGAAAACCGTGTGTTTTGACCAGGGTCTGGAATATTTCGTAAACATTTGATGGGGAATAAGAAATGGCGGTCTTAATCCAGAGTCTTGACCGGATTTTCAATTTGGTTGTTGAAAGAAGGTGTTTCTTAGCCCTTGTTGGTCTTGTCTTGCACTAGTGTGGTTGGGCTCGTTTTGTCCCTGGTTGGGGGCCTTGGGTGTGGTCGGGTTGGTTTTGACCACTTTGGTTTCCTTTGCTCAGGGGTTTGGGAATTGGGTGTTCGCGCTTTTGGGGAGCAGCGCCAATTTCCAAACTCTGAGCCAGAGGTGTGGTAAGTTGTCAAAAATGTGTTGGTCACCAACCTTGATTTACCTCATGCTGCGCCTTTAAATGTAGCACAGCCATCCTTGCCACGATTCGATCCCACCTCCCTCCCATCGCAACACACTGCCAACTGAGCTAGAGAGTCATACTGTAAGCTTGCAAAGAGGTACTTCTTCTGTTTGAAAAGGGTTTCCCAGATAGGAAGATGTACTACATCTAAAGGTGCAGCATGAGGTAAATCAAGGTTGGTGACCTACACATTTTCCTCGAACAACTTACCACACATCTGGCTCAGAGTTTGGAAATTGGCGCTGCTCCCCAAAAGCGTGAACACACCCAATTCTCAGGCCCCTGCGAAAAGGAAACCAAGCGACCACAGGGCTGAGAGTTGGGTCTCGAACAGAACTAATTGTGCTGGTCAGTTGCAGTGCGGAAGTGTTTTGATTTTTGGAGCATGTGAGAGTCGCCAATAATTTATGGTTGGACCATTTGAGGGTCTAGTTTCTTGCTTCCTAAAATTCTCAACACACTGACGGACCGTAGGAGAGAGAGAGAGAGAGAGAGAGAGAGAGAGAGAGAGAGAGAGAGAGAGAAAAATAGAGAGAGAGAGAGAGAAAGAAAGAGAGAAAGAGAGCAAGAGAGCAAGAGAGAAAGAGAGAAAGAGAGAAAGAGAGAAAGAGAGAAAGAGAGAAAGAGAGAAAGAAAGAGAGAAAGAGAGAAATAGAGAGAGAGAGAGAGTCAGGGATTAACAATGCTGGCTCGGAATTCATCCAGGGTTGACATTGTTGCGAGCCCGGCCACAAGGTCCACTCCTCGGGCATCCTTCGGCGGGTGGAAAGATCCGTTGCGCGCCGTGGCAGATGTCGAGGTGGGTGTTTCTTTGGAGACGCCCAACGTCTTCCCCAGATAGCTGAAAAGTATTGGGGGTTCTTGCTTCGAAAGAGGGGCAGGCTGTTCAGCAAGTTGGCCAGGTTGCTGTTGTGGGTGCTTGTTAGGGTGCTGTTTGGCGTGCTCGAGGTCCGGTGGTGGTGCTCGCGGTGCTGTTTTGGGTCACGGTGCTGCTCAAGGTGTTGTGATGGTTGCCGGCAGTGCTTGTTTGGCGACGTAGTAGGTGAGCTGTTGTGCTCTTGTGGTGTTGTGGGAGGTGGTCAGAGTGCTTTCCGGTGTGCTCAAGGCGCGATGTTGTTCAGCGCTGCAGGGCTTGTGTCAGGGTGCTGTTTGGTGTGCTTTGTTGGTTGCCGGCACTGCTTGTTTTGCAGTTCGGTCAGGCTTCTGCTCGGGGTGCTTGTTCAGGGAGCCGTTCGTGCACATCCTGCGAGGTTGTGAGACTGGGAGTTGCGCGGCAGGAGAATCCATTCCGGCAAATTTCTCATGCCGGGGTTATGCGTGTGCATCTTGTTTCGGGCGGGGATTTGGAGAAAAACTAAGATAGTGCTGTCCGTGCTGTCACCCTCGAAAAGCCAGATTTCCCGAAGTTCAGGCCAGATGGTGTGATTGCTGCGGAGGCGCCAGAAGCACACAGGCTGGAAGCTGCACCCAGAAGCCACAAGTGGCCGAGGAATCTAGCCCGACAACTCTTCAAGGCCCATGCTCCAAAACGCCGGAGGCCCGCGAACGAGTCTGTGGTGCTGCTGGGCAAAGTGCATGACTGCCATCACAGGCAGAGCGACGCTACGGGAATGGGGTGAGGGTTGGGTTGCAAGATTAAAAGCTCTTGAAATGGGAGCTAAAAGGAGATGGTCTTAAACAGTAGGTGTTTAACCGCGCGGGGTTTGGCCCAGCCCTGGTGAGTCCTGGTAGGCCACCAAGCTGCAAATTCAAGAAAGATCATGGCATCACGGGCAAGCGCATTGCTGTCTACACTTATGCCGCCTGACAGCACGCCACATTGACATGCAGGGACGCCGTGTCCCAGGTCCCAACGTGCAACCGACGCGCCGTGCCGTCAACCTGTACACTGTGCAGCTGCTTTCCATTTTTCCCGGCTGCCCAGCTTGTCCGAGGTGACAGGTGCTTACGAGGAGATTCGCGATTTCAACGTGCAGCATCCCCAGATTCGCTGCCACAAGCGTCAGGTTTTTACATCGACGTCATGAAAAACAGTCGGGAGAACAAAGGCACGGCCCCAGAACGGGGCTGGGCCACAAAAGTGACAGCCTCGAAGCTACCCTCCAAATGGTTCTGCACTTTTTGGTCTACACAAAGTAACTTTGAGAACCTCGAAATGCAGGCACTTTCAGGCAAGCTGCATGATGGCCTTCCTCTCCGCCGAAACTGGAGGCCTTGCGTGCCGTCCGGCGTCGATGCGTTCTTCCTCATCGATGAGGCCACGAGGCAGCCCTTGCTCAAGCGACGTCACCGCAGCATTGGGGTTGCCCGCTGCATCACATGGCCGGGGTAAGCGTTAGCCCTAAACAAACAAGCTCCAGCTGAACTCCCCTAAAAGTCCAACTCCAAAAACGAACTTTGGCCCACTCCAAGGACAGCCTTTCCCATGTCCAAACCGCAGGAAGGCATCGAAGAGCTCGGTGCTGACCACTTGGCGTCGGCACGGCTGGCGCGGAAGGGGGGTTGAGGAGGGACGGGGACAGGTTTCAGAGGGGGGTATGGCCTCGGAACTCTTCGATTGGATCGCCTTCAGATCATTCGCACCTAAATCTGCATGTGTGATGCCCAAAGTCGCATTCCCAACTCAGATTTGTCCCCGGATGCGGGTTGAATGTCAGACTGCAGGTTGCATCTGATAGCGAAAGGCCGCTGTTTGCTTGGCAAGGTGGGTTCTGACCATGCGGCCGCTGATCGAGGGCACGACGCAAGTGCCGCTGGAGCCATGGCTGGAAGACGATGGTTTTGCCAGGGTGCCTGGGCCAGTCCCTGGCCACTATTGTTTAAACAGTCACAGAGCCACAGAGGTTGCCAAACCCTGATGGCAGGTTAGGATCAGGGTTCCCCCCCATCTTGAACAATCCAGGTGGGGTCGTTGCAGAGACCAAGAGGGAGCCACCCAATGGCAGGGATTGAAATGTGATTGGTGTGCCCTAGCGAGCAAGCCGATCAAGTGTTGTTCTCGCGAACTCAGCTGCTCAGACGATGGCTTGAGCACTTGTCAGCGCAACCGCTTCTTAAACAACACGCAATTGCAAAGAACAAAGTCAAGATTTGATGCCTTTGTTCACCTGCGCACCGCCTTAGTTAGAGCACAATATTTGTGATCAAGCAATCGTTGAGCCCCGGTACTGCTGCAGACACTAGATGTCCTTTTCGCATCGGCGAGAGGTCAATGACCTGAGCCGGACCGTTCACACACACACCAAATCACGCACGCTCCGGAACTTGTTGATGTGGGTTCGGTTAGAGAGTGCCACATGCAAGCGTCGGCCCATGGGCTCCCTTTCATGGGACACGTGAGCCGAAACAGACCCTCAAGGACCCCGCGCCGGGTTCGGGGTAAGCCTTACGGAGGCCAAAGAAGGAAGGCCAGGGCAAGGTCATTGGGGGTGGGATCCAAAGGATTTTCTCCCATAGGGGGTGTTTTGTTTGGGGGTTCTTGTAGGGTGCCAGTCGCCGGTCCCATCAATGGCTATGGGGGGTCTTTCTCAGGTTGGTTTCCCTTTGTTTTCCCTAAACCTAGGCGCACTCCAGGCAGAATTTTGGAGGGCACAAAAAGCTCGTAAAGCCTTTTTGTGACCCTCAAAAATAGAACAGGTGTTATGCAATTTGCCTCCACACTGATAGGAACCCCAGATAAACGCTGGGGGGGGGGACCAATGGCTCCAAGCCTTCGGTTTGCCCAGCCGCGGCTGGCGGCGAAGTCCCTGAAGTTCACGCCCCCCAGCTGGATGCTCAACGGCACCTGGGCGCCTTGGACCAAGACGATGCACCGATATTTTCGGTTTGGAGGAGGGAAGAAAGGTACACTTGGGGGCGGCTATGGTTCTAGGGGTACCTTCCCCATTCTTTCCAGGGATCCTTCTTTTCAGGAAACCATCAAAAACCCAGGACAAACAGCCGGGTATTGAAAAAAACGATGGTTGAAAAGAATGGAGAATCAACCCCTAGAATGGTGGTGGCAGATTGAGAGCAGGCCGGATTTTGAGGATAGCTTCCAAGCTTTGTTGGGTGCCCTAGCCATCCGATCCGCGTGCCAGAGGGTCACCCTGGTTTGGTGGTGTACGGCTGCCATGGAAGTAGATGCTGTCCTGTTCGTAAAACATGTCTTTTCCGCAAGAGGGACGTGCCCAGACCAGATCAACGTTGAAACCGTCTTTGCTCGGAAGTGGGTTGGAGCTTCTTTGCTCTGCGCGTGCCGCAAGGATTGGCTCGTTGAATTTGATGGCGACATTTCGATGGACATGTCGGCCATCCGAACGCTGGTCGACAAATATCGGGACAAGCCTTTGCTGCTGCTCAAGTGGCGATCCGGTTGCAATGGGTACGAAGGCTAGTGATGGGCTGCCGCTCGGTGTTGCCCCAAACATGTGCCAGGTTGAGCATGATGTCCCTGCCCTGACCTGCAAGAAAGGCCGGGCGGTGCATTAGTGCGAGGTATTGGCGCGACGACTGCAGCGCATGGGACTGTTTTATCCAAGAGTGCACCGACATGCTGAACAAGAGGAGGGAGTATGTGCAGACATCGTATCTCGGTTGCTCTTTGCTACGACCTTGTCCTTTTAACCTTTGGAAAATTACGGTTTCCCCATACAAACTGGAAAACATGTCTAACTTTTTGGAGCGTCCTTTGACCAATCCAGGTATGACAACATTGTGAAGTGGAAAGATGAGCTGACAAAGCTCCACAACGATCCCACCCGCCCCTTTCAGCCGGCGAACTACTACGACACTTCGTCATGAAATCTGGCAGTCACCTTCAGTTTTCGCTAGTGGCGAACCATGATTAGTAGACCTCTGGTTGATTGACGGGGATGCTCCCTTTCAGAGGAAGATCATGACCGCTTTGTGAATCGGACAGGTTTATCACTGGGTTGGCATTACGCTTTGTCCCCAAGCGGGCACATGCCAACTCGCCACTTGAAACGGACCCGGGCACGCCAAGGAGCTGGGTGTCATGTTCCGCAACCTCGCGCACCCCAAGTCGAAAGTGGTGGACGACACTTTCAGGCAGGTCTTGGACCGCTGCAAGAGCATCCAGCGAGACCAGTTCCTGATGCCCTTTTATCTTTGGACGCCGGATCGCAGGGAGAAGTTTTTGTACTGCTCAATCAAGATGTGGCCAACAATCAATATTCAGTGCTACCTTCTGCAGTAAAGGGTAAGAAAATGGTAAGCCATTGGGTGCATTCACCAAATGACCACTAGACGCCGGGGCTGAAGAGGGAAACAAATGCCCGTGGCTCATGTCCAAGCTGGTTGTTCCACTCCGGCAACTTCTTGTGTCAAAATGTTTGAGCAGCTCAGATGCAGTCTTTGAAAGCGGTGGCTAAGGAACGCATCGCTGGATAAAGATGTGGAGGCGCTTACGGTAGCAACATTGTATCTCAGCCGCAAGACCTGCATGTTCAATTCATTTTGGACTCTCCGTGTATTGGCATGACTGGCAGTTGCAAGGGGTTTTGCTCCCAGTCATGAAACATAGGGCCCCCTTGTACTTCCCCCTTGCCCCGCGTGAAGTGAGCGTTTTGGAGGGTGTCAGCCCCAGGTATTCTCAGCTTCAATACTGCAAGGTGGGCACGCGCCAAAAACGAGCCTTGGCCTCGCATGGTGGACAGTTGGTAGGTGGTTTACCAACTGCAGTCGAAGGGTTTCATCCGTCCCACCTGCATTCAGAGGGTTTCATCCGGGTTAACTGTGTCATGTTGTCCATCCGCAGTATTATTGGCAAGGCCGAGGAGGGCGGGGGGGAGGGGGGGGGGGCACCCGAAATTCCCATTCACAGCGTTGCGGGAGCAACGCATAAGTCGGGGGAAAAACGAAAAGCTCAAGCAATTTGAAGCATGTTCGGCCACGTTCCGGCAAGTTGGAACCTGGATGTTTTTGGTCCTCCACTTTTTTCAGAGCGCATGTGTGGCATCTGGCTGAGGAAATCTGCTGGCCGAAGGCCACAACCTGTCTGAGACGCAATCCCATGACTTTGAAGGTCATACCCTCGTGCCCTGGCTTGCAAGATCGCCTCCAGCGGGATAGGGTCTGCGAAATTGGGTTCAGGTGTGGCGTCTTTTGTCCGTTTTTCCGGCCACCCTTTTGGGGCTGCCTGGCTCTTTTGTGCGGGACGGATTCATTTGGAGGTGTAGCATCAGTGCCGCGCTTCGCAGGCTCCCACCTTCCAAGAGCTTGAGATGCTCGATCCCCTCTGAGTGCCGTGCGCGATGGAGAGGTTGCGAAGGTAAAATTGCCGTGGATGAGTTGGGACTCTTCTTTTCCCAGACCCTGGGGTTTTTATAGAAGGACCCAAAGGACCCCTTTATTTTTCACCCAGCGTTCTTTTGAGAAACCTCCCATTCACCAGGTTCTTTCGCTGCCTTCTTAAAGCCAGAATCCTTCAGGTGGATTCTGGCCAAAGTCCTTGAACCCAGTGTTTTTTTTTTTTTTTGGTGAAGTCAACCAGCATGTCAAAATTTGGTTGGGACCCCGGTTCCTTCGGTTTCTCTTAGACAAGCTACCTTCCAACAGGGCATCCTCAAACAGAAACAGCTGGGCAAAAGTTTTCCCTTGGGTCCAGAAAGGGAAGCTTCCCCGGCGCATTTTGGTTTTCCGAAAGAAGCTCGGGTCGGCTCGCCTTCTTTGGCTCCGCAGGACTTTGGGGGGAGGGCTGGAGACGTCAACGAGCCACAGACTCGCATGGGCGCAGGCCATCCGGATCGCATCCGGTCCCTGGCGGACTCTGCCGAGGCGGGAGACGGGATGGCTCTTGCTGGCGCCAGGGGAAGAGATCAAAACGGTGAAAACAAATGAACAAGGTTTCCCTTGAAAAAAAAAAACACCCGGGCTAGGTGTTTTGGGTTTCTTTTGGGGAGCCTGTTCATTTTGGGCAAACTTGTCTGGTTTTCCCGACTTTCGAGGCATGGAAGGGGATCAAAGGGGAAGACGAAAGCTTGTCTGGGAAACCGGATGAGACAAACAGAAAAGCCTTGTGGAGGCTGCCGCGGCCGGCCTTGAGGATGCCAAAAGCGCCTTGGAGCAGGAGAAACCGCCGAACGCCAGCCCCTCTAGAGCGTATTTTGTCAAGTTTCAAGGGTCTTTTTCTTTTTTAATCAGCCCACTTCGGCAAAACAAACTGATTGGAGCCGAAGACAACCTTGAGTGCCTGGCACAAGATGCAGAACTTTGGTGGACCCAGGGTGCCCTAAATAACGAGGGGTATGGGTCAAGGAAAACCTCCCGTAGATGTTGGCACCTTCACTTGCACCAGAGGAAAAACACCTTACACTGAAAAGTGTGGGTTGCATGCAGTCCGGGGGCTGCAAGACCGGACGCGAATTCCGAAAGAACCAGCAAGATTTGGGTGTGGCTATTCTGTTTTCCCTAGGCAACCAAAAAAAGACAGCCATTTCACACGTCAAACCGATTCAGGATAGGGTTACTTCTCGTTGGCGTTGGGAAATTTCTGTGAGTCCCCCATGTCCTTAAACTCGTTCGATGTCGACCGGACCTCACAGGGTTTGAATCTGGATGGCCTCTTTAGACAAAATTCTTGAGGGGTTTCCTGCTTCAGCCGCCCGAAACGCGAATGTCCGTTTGCTTCCGGGGCAAACAATTGCCCAGGAGGAGCAACAAACCGAGCAGCTGCGGCAGAAGGTATCCCACCAGGAGTCAGAGCTGGAGAGATTACAAGGCCGAGGGTTCGAAGCTGCAGCGTTCGTGTCCTTTTTTAAGGGGGAAATCGCAATGGGTGATCTTCCTTTTGGTGTCCCTTCAAAACCACGCAAACTGGCCTCAGAATTGCATGTTTGACCCCATTTGAAAGGCGGTCCCTCCTTGGAAGTTCCATGTCGGGAGGCTATGATATCAAGCCACCCTGTTCTGCTTCTTAGATTCGGGGGAGTTGATCATTGTGATCTCTGCCAGCTCCTTGCAGGGAAGGTGAGGGCCTTCCTTCCGAGGCTTGGAATTCGCCCCTTCCATGGAAGCAGATTGGAGGATTCGAGGATTGCGAATGCGCCCCGGGCACAAGCATGTACAGCTTGAAGCTGTTCCGAAGGGGTCCTCGACGGCCTTGAAGCTCTCAACAATGACAGCGACAATTCCACCCCCGACCCTTACTGGAAATCCAAGAATGTATGGTTTTCCCCACCACACAGGCGCCCCACCTCCGGGGCACTGGGAGGGCCATGGGCCCTGTCAAGCGCATCGGCCATGCTTTCTCGGACTCCTTCGGATGCGCGAAATCTGCGCTGAAGGCATGTGCTGATGTCCCCACGATTGGTAAGAACCAAAAGCTTACCAGTATCCCAGCTGACCCGTACGCGCGCACCAAACTGCAGTATCGGCTGTTGCAGCAAGGCAGCCATTCCCTCCGGATTACTCTGAAGGCGGCTAGCCGGTTTCCAGCAAAGCCAGTGAAAGCCATCATACCACCCACGAGGTCTGTCATCGTAACAAAAAGACAACTCATCCGCAATACCCAACATAGCACGATACCGGGTGAAATTGAGCGGCAGGAAAACATCCGGGGGGGGGGGGTCCGTTTGGAAACCGGAAGAATAAGGCTCCATTGATGGTTGAACAAGACCTGCCTGCTCTTGCCACCCTGTTGCCTGCATCCACGCCGGAAGCTCCATGCTGGCAAGAAAACGTAGTCCTGCAGCAAATTGCCTAGGCGTAAGGCCGCAACCTGCGGAATCGAGACCGTGATCAGCAAAGGTGGAGAGGTGGCCAGGCTCCTGCGGCGGAGCCCGGTCTATGTCCCCGGTGGTCGAAGATGGCTGTCTAGCACAGAGCGGGTGGTCAGGGTGCCCTGCGAGTGGGACAATCCGGACCATTCGGGCGCAATCGCCTTTTGATTCCATTATTGGGATCGTGGCATCCCCCCGAAATGAATGGCTTTTTCGTCTGCTTTCCCTTGAGGCCAACAGATGCTAGTTGAAGTATAAGCAAAAACCTAGATACTTGGAAAGGAATTCCTATTTAACATCTGATTGAAAGCAAGAGCATAATTGATGTACTTCGAAGAACAACCAGCTTGTCTTTCCTTACCAGATTCTGTTAAGCGTATAGTTAAAGTCTGATTAAGTCTCAGATGAATTCTAACTAACATCCCTCTTGCCAAGGAATTCTTGCTTAGAATTGGAGGGTCTTCCTGTTTACAACCTAATTCAAAATAATAATTCTATTGAATCTCTCATTGAACTCTTATTTCGAAATGAATTCTTATTTAGAATCTAAATAAAGAGCTATTGATTTCTAATTGAAACCCTACTCGGAAGGGAAGTACTTTTGAAAACCTAGCTCAATACACCAACTTGAATTGACTTCGAATCCAAGTCCCACTTTACCACCTGCAAACCAGTTGGAGTAGAATTTTCATTTTCCACTTGCTGGATGTTCCCCCCCTTTCAAGGGGCTTGCAATTTAGAAGAAACAACAAGCGAGCCTTTCCTCACTAGATCCTATTTTTATCCGAATTAAATTCCGACTTGGAACGAACAACAAACCTCCGATTTTGATTATATATAGTATAGTTAAGAATATCAATATACATTTGTTGTCCAATTAAAGTGTGATTTAAGCTTAAAGCGTTGCAATCATAACTTGTAAGCCAATAGAGCTGCAATTGCATGTTCCTTGTTTTTTTTTTCTCACTCCTTTTTTCAGGGGCAGGCAAAAATGAAGGACCGACCAGCCTCTATGAACGACCAGCCTCTATGTGAATTCTAGTTCAGTTCTAGAGCCAAACAAGAATGAACATAATATGCTAAGACTATTGCAGCACTCTGGTTGGAATGAGCAGCTGCAGCAAGCAACTAGCAGCATGTTGCAACATCCATGTACCATTGAGTGATTCAGAGTTCGCAATTGCAACCACTCCTCAAGAAAGCAAGCGTACAACTTGCTCAAGGAATCAAACCTCAAAATCCCCAAACAAGGGCACTACCACATTCCTAAACCAGCTCCGCTTACCCTCCCGCCAATGACACGGAGCCTGACGGGGGGTCCCTTTGGTCCAAACCAGGACCCCCCGAAACGTCGAACGGTTCCATGTCAATTGGTGGGATGGCCTGCGTCTTCTGATGGGCGTTGGGGCAAAAGCAAACACGGGGAACCCCATTGACATGGAACCTGAGGTTCGGGACCCGGTCCCTTCAAAAGGAATACCCCCCGAAACGTCGAGGGGTTCCATGTCAATTGGTGGGGGGGTACCTCCCAGCGCTGTTTTTGGGTAGGCGAGCTGCGGAGCCTGGAGGCTCACGCTGCAGAGGAGCGGGGCGCGCGCCAGGCACAGATCCAGCGGGAGGAGGCGAGAGCGGAGGGCAGGGAGCTGGACACCAGGAAAGCCGAGGTTTGGCCACTTTTTTTTGGGTCTCGTTCCTTCTTTATGTTTTAAGAACCTCTTCAAACATGGGGGGAAATCCTTGTGGTTCCATTTTTTTAAAACCCTTCAAACATGGGGTAAATCCTTTTGGTTCTTTTCTTTGTATCCAGGGGACCCCTCAAGAACGGTGGAATATCCATACAGGGTTCCCCTTTTGGAGCCCGTTTCTTCCAGGCACTTCGCTCTGCGGTGGAAGATGCCAGGAGGGAACAGGAGGCCGGTCTCTCGGCTCCGCCTTGTGCCGAGAAGTCGGGTGGATTCGCATAGGTGTCCTTTTCGGTTGGTTTGGTTGAAAAATCGACGGCGATTCCTGGTTGTCCTTGTGGTTCAATCAGCCAGGGACATCTATTTTCGAACAAAAGGACACCTATGTGGATGCGTCTCTGTTTTTCGGAGGGTCGCCTGCTTTGGTGGTTTTAAAAGGGAAACCAAAAAGGACAAAGGAGCAACACAGAAAACACAACACAGCCATGTGAGCAAGTCGCGAAATTGCCGGTGATAGGTTGGGAGGGCACGGAATGCTTGGGGAAGCAAATGGTCGGGGTTCTTGACCCTTTTGTAGACCCCTTGAACAGATAACAAAAGACAACGTTTGGGGCAACAGGAGGCCCACCTCGGGACTTGTTCTTTTTTCAAACCAACTCAATCGAAGCGATGAAGAGCTCCGCCTGGAAGGTCTTGCATCGTGAAAGCACGGTCGTGGTCGCGTGCGTCCTCGGCTCAAGCAACATAAAAGTGGAGCGTTTCAATGTCGCGCAACCGCTGGCAGAGGAAAGTGAGAGTGAGTGCAGTATGTGTGATGAGCCTGGTCGCAAGGGCCGCCAGCAGAACCCAGTGCCACCATTCAAACCAGATTCCAGCGCAGGCCAGTTCATGCCAACTCGTATCACGTGCTCATCGAACCGATTCACCTTCCACGTGAAGAAAGGGGGTCTATGAACCTCTGATTTTTGATTTCAGCAAACGCCGTGAGCCAGTGCCGCATCGTTTGTGGGTCGGGATTTCCGGAGTTGGATTTATGTGCATTCCGTATCAAGTTCCTTAGCTGTGACGAAAAAAGTCCATCAATAGCACTTACCCTTGGGTTCCAAGTCACAAGTTTCTAATCGCAGAGTCCTTGGATCGTGTTTTCTGAGCACCCTTCCAAGGTTGCAGCACCTTTGCGAGGTGCAATTTGATCTCTGCAACCTGACCTTCCTCAAACCCCGGGTGCCCCATTTGCCTTTGGCTGGCTGGCAAGTCCCCCCTTGCACCCAGCTCGCCATCGATGATCGACCGCCTGGACGACCTCCGTGCTGCAGCGGGCACCTTGGCGCGGGAGAACCGGCGCCGCGACCGGCGCGGCACCTCGCCGCTGCGGTCGCCGGAGCCCTCGCCGCCCCCCACGCCGCAGTGCCACGGAAGAAAGCGCCGCGGATGTTGCACGTCGTTGCCGTGAAACCCACGAGATCCGCGGTCAGGTTTTGTCTCCCAGTTTGCAAAATGGGTGACTTCCTTTCAGTTTTCCGGAGCAACCCACCCAAGGGTCCGAGGGCGAAGGCGTAATGCGACAACTACGTACCTGCATGTGGGGTTTCAAAATGCTACTCCGCTTTGTTGGGGGTTCTACGTTGATCTGGAGCCGGACTCAACGGAGGATGCGGGGATGTGATGCAAGATCTGTGTTATCATGTCCGAAAGCACGTTGCCTTGCGCCATCAAGTTGTGACTAGGCATTTGAGCAGCATGTCTTGGAAGCATCTTTCGGCATGACTTTCCTTAGGGGTTACGTCAGCCTTTCCGTTGGCAGCTTTGCACTGGGCGAGGTATCTTTTCGGCGCGGCGATCCATGGTTTCAATCCTTGTCCGACATTTTTTGTTTTTGGGGTGCGGGAAACCAAGTTGGGGGTCCGAGACCTTGTGAAGAAGCGACCGTCGAATCCTTGTGGTTTTCCCTTGATCGGTGGCCTAGCCATCGGCCACCAATGCCCAAGCCGGCGGTTTTCGGTTTTCTGCGCGCCCCTCGGCTAAGTCGCTGAGGCTGGCGCCCCGGCGAAGCGATGAGCCGCTGCACGGGTTTCTGGCCAAGTTGGAGCGGGTGCGCAGGGGCCCGCTGCGTGAGCTTGAAGGCGCGGTATTTGGACGCACTCGCGGGCCATGTCACCAAGAGGAAGGTGTAGGAATAGCCTAGTATGCTGGGGGAAATGGTTTGGGGACTTCAGATGGAGTGGCGATCCAGGGGTCCCTCCGAAATTTCGGGATTCGGGTCACAACATCCTTCCAATTTCCGAGTCCCAAATCACATTCTCCGGGAGCTTCTCCGGATGAGGTCTCCTTAGATGGGGTCTTTACCCTGATCCGTTTCCTTTCTTGGTTTGAGCTGAGGCTGGTTCTTCCTTGGTCCAAGGGTGATTGAGCTGACACCGCCCCAGACTTTGTTCTGCGATCTGGGGACCCTTGGAGGCAGTTTGAGAGGCCCAGAGTTGACCTGCGCAAATTTTCACGGGAGTCGAAGCTCTGGCCAGGCACCCTGGCCGAAGCAGAGGAGCTTCATAGCGGCGCGCTGCAGGCGACTACGGCCAAGGAGGAGAAAAAGGCAGGGCCGCCTGGGGGTTTTCGAGATTCCAGCCTTGCGAATTTTAAACATGGGCTTTTGGGTTACCACTCGCAGTAAGTCTCCTGGGGTCATGTTTAAGGAGGACTTATGCATTGCGTGCAGCGGGAACACTTACCAATTGACTGCAAACATGAAGGAAGATGGCAAGGGACGACAACACCCACACCAATCGCTTCAAATGCGGGAATATTGAGAACACTGTCTTGGCGGGCCCTGTGCTTACAAATGAGAAGGCTTGTGCAAACTGTCAGCCGCCAACCAGTGGACCAGGCAGAACATTGCTAGAGGTGCATGGACAGTTCTGCAATGGTCAAGAGGCCCTACTTGGGGCTTTTGGTGAAGGTCATGCACCTTTTTCTGGGGTGCGGGGGGAAAAAATGTAGAAAAGGCTTGTCCTCGGGGGTGGGGGGTAGATGGTTGCCTGTTCTGTTTTTTATTTCACAATTCAACACGTGTACCACCTTATTCGTTTTTTCAAGGCTGATTTTGGGGGCATGAAATAACGATATGGATGTGGTAACGAATTGATGATTTGGTCCCCTGTCTCGTTCCAGATTTCAACTTTTAGTTTTATTGATTGAAAGAGGATAGGACTTTCTGTGGATTCATGGGTTGGCTTTTGGGCGGTCTTCTGGTTTGTCATTGACTGATGATTTATGTTATAACTATGGTAAAATTATAACCTATAAGTTGATAAATGTTGTAATCATATTATAGTTGTAGAATAATATGAAGAAACTTAATCCATCTGATATTCAAAATCTGATGAGGTTTCAATGTAATCTCTTATCTCTTCCTGTGTTGTTTGCTGTGTGTATTGTTTTGTTGCTTCTTCAGTCTTTGGTGGTTTTGGATTCTTAACATTGTTGATGTGTTTTTTGGTTCTTTCGTGTTTTGCTTTCTGACTAAGTGAGACCATACATCTACAGTATTGACAGTCAATTTTCCTTTGGTTGTATTCTTTTCTGTATTCTTGCTTGTGTTCTTTATTCTTTTCATAGTGTTTTTTATCCCATTCAGCGTGCTTGTCTTTATTGTTGTAATAATATGTGTGTCTTTGTTTGATACACTCATTACATTGTTTTCTATCTTTATCAAAATGTAGTTGTTCTTTTGTTTTTAGACATCTTGAGCATTGCTTCGCTTCAGGCTTTTCCATATCAATAATATATAGTGTTCCTAAGTCTTTAAAAGTGTTTCTAGGTCAAAATTAATTCAGGGGTATTCATAGATTAAAAGTTCACTATAATTATAACATATAATAATATAAATGTTATAATTATGGTTTAGTTATGAATTACACAGGTTCATCAACAATTAGTTTAAACCTTATGTTTTGTACTCCTCCAAAATTCATTCTACTTCTTTCTCTATCAATACATCTGTATATTGTTTGATGTGCCTCTATCATTACTTCGGTTATATTATCTATGGTTATATCATCCACAACATCATCACTACGAAAATAAAAACTAAAAGTGTTAAAATGGTCGTCTTCATAATTGAAATGATGAAACCTTACAAACATATTTACCTCAACTATTATCACTGCTTCATAACCGTTATCGGTTTCAATGCCATCTAACAAACAATCTAAGTTTTCATTTTCATTAAAAACTATATCTTTGATGCTTTTTATGCTTAAAGGTATATTTCTTGAAATGTAATACTCAATTACGTGTCTGTTTATATCATCGCCATCTTCAACAGTATAGCGCTTTGTCTTCTTTTTGTTTCTGTTCTGTCTATTTTATATCGTTGTTGTATTCTCTTTAACGTCTTAATATGATTATGTTTTAGTTTCAAATACTCAGGTCTCCCTAATTTATATACAATGATACCTTTTAATACATCAGCAGGTAAGCTAGCACAATTCTCAAATATAAAATTATTCTCTGACATTTTACCCTCACTCATTTTTCTCTTAATATATAAGGTTTTTTCTCTTTAAGTAGTTTTTTTTTTTTAATGTTAAGGGGTGGGGGTTATATCGATAAAAAAATATTTTCTAACAAATAATATAATGGTGAGATTAACGAAAGACCAAATAATCAGCAACATCTATTATGACTTAGACGAGGGTTTCGGAAGCACACAGGCAACACACAAGAAGGCAAAGGAAGAAGACCCAACGATAACATTAGAAGATGTAAAGTCTTTCTTAAAGAAACAACCAAATAAACAAATCAAAAATTATAGAGGCACTAATTCCTATACCGCTCCCTTCGCACGATATGAATATCAAATAGACATAATGCATATGACACCTTTAGCTAAAGACAAGAATGTTCCTCAGTATGCTTTAGTCGTGATTGACATCTTCAGTAAATTAGCAGATGCAATTCCGATGGAGGAAAGAGACGGAGAGCACGTTCTAAAAGCACTAAGAGCAAGTTTTAAAAAGATGGGTTATCCGATGTCTGTGTATTCTGATGATGATGGAGCATTTGCAACCAAAAACCAAGTTCAGGATTTCTTCAACAGCGAAGGTATCAAACACATAATAACGAAGACACACGCAAATGTAGCCGAACGTTTTATTAGGACCATGAAAAACAAAATTCACGATAGAGTTAGGTTTAATAATATGAAATGGACCGATGCCTTAACACCAGCATTGAAACAGTATAACAGCACATTACACTCGTCAACAAGGATGACACCAACCGAAGCACACAAGGACGACAATGAAATAAATGTAAAGGTCAATCTGAAACTACGAGAAAAGAACAAAAGAAAGTATCCCAGAATACAGGAGAACGATAAGATAAAAGTGTTTCAAAAGAAAAGGGGCAATTACACCGACAGAAAAGAGTATAACTCTAAATGGTCTAATAAGATATTCAATGTTGATAAAATTGAATATGATATTATGGGCAATAAAACTTACAGAGTAGCAGGAATAAACAAACCACTTCTGAGACACGAAATTTTGTTAGTTAATGATTAAACATATTTCTTGGTATCTTCAATATACTTGACTTGGTAGAAATCCAGACTTGATTGTTTAGGTTCTTTAATAACTTTTTCATTAAGTTTTTTAATATATACATTTCGTTTATTCTTGTATTCAGTGCTCTCTCTATCAACTTCTTTTGGTTGGTAATTATTAGTATTATTGTAAGCTGGTTTCTTCATACTTTCTAACAGTTGATAAATGCGTTTATTTTGTTCCATTATTTCATCAATTTTCAAAAATAGTTTATCCACACCTTCCATATATACTATATTATAAAACTAAAGTTTTAAAACTAAATATTTTAATTTCGAATGTCTCTGTTTCTTAAATGTTTAAATTCTTCGCCTTCTACCATAACTCTAACAATGTTATCTAAATCTTTTTGAGTATGTCCACATACTAACGCTTTGTCCAGATATAAATATTCATAGCTAAGACCAACACTAAGTAATAAACAGTTATATTTTTTAGTTTGAGTACGAGTTAAGACTATTTTACATCCACACTTACAAGTATAATAACTAACACCATTATAATTATTGTCTCCAATTTGCTTGTCTAATTCAAGTGCTCCAAAATGTAAATGTGTTAAACTTGAAAATTCAACCATATACTATATTATTCAACTATACTTTTAAAACTAAATGTTTAAATTATGTTAATTCTAGTCTTTAAATACTAATTTTTCATCATTTGTTTAATAGTTTCCTGCGTTTCGTTATCACCATTGTCGGATGGTGATGCATGCCTACCCCATTTAAAAGTTATATTATGAACATCTGTTTCTAAGTTGATACTGTCTTTAGTTTTATCAATATTCATCCTTTTGTCGTTTTTACTCAATTTGAAACTTGTTGGGATACACGAACATTTACAATTTCCTTTCTTTTGTATTTGTAATTCATTCTTAAGTTCTAACATTCTTTTGCATGTAGGACAAACAACCTCAATAACTGATGTTTCTTTAACAATTTCTTCATCAGTTGATGAAACACTTAAACCTGTCTTATTCTTTTTGTTTTTCTTTTTTGGCATTTATATTAATATTTATATTTTTAATATATTGTATCAAAAACTTAATTAATTCTAAAATAAAATAACATATTTTTTTACATCTATTATCAGTTATGACAACCCGTTCTATATTCTCCATTTCATTTATTATATTAATATAATCTGTATAACTCCTTTTCATATTAAATAATAAGATAAATTATTTTTCATTTCTGTCTTTCTTTTCTTGTAAAGTTTTTTCATTGTATCGTCTTTATTCCATCTATATTCTACAAATTTCTGATGATATTTTGAATTTAGATGTTTAAATAAATATTTGTCATCATAAGTTTTACCACAACTGCAATGGATAATAGTCATATAAATAATAAGATAAAATAATTATTTAATCTTATTATTTTCATGCATAATAGAATATTGGTGGGGCACAGCACTTGGGGTTTTCATTGCATACGCGAGCAAGACACAAAACTAATTATCTTCAATACTTATTGACTGAAGTTGATGAAAGAGCCTGTTCTACTACGATAGACACCATTCATATCATAGCAATGCTTTCATACAATAAATAATATTAATTTATTTTCTAAATATTTTTAATATTATTATTTTATGCCTGAAGTTCCCATTATAAAACCAATAAACATAACTGATTATGAATTCAAACAATCCAAATATGAACATGTACCAAAACTACCTTTTCGCTCAATTGTTGTTGCTTCATCAACGGGTGGCAAAACAGTTTTAATCCAAAACCTTATCCTAAATGTTTATAGGGACTGCTTCGCTCGTATATTCATTTTTAGCCCGTCTGTTCATAATGACCCTACCTTCGTTGAAGTCAAGAAATATCAAAAAGATAATATGAAGGTTGATGATGAAAAAGAAAAGTTATATTATGACACCTACCAACCTGAAGAACTGGAAGAAATAATTAACACACAAAGAAAGATAATTCATTATATGAAAGAACAGAAGATGAAGAAACTACATTCAATTTTAATCA